GTGGTTAAAGCATTCGCTCGTGATGCCGAAGACCCGGGTTGATTCCCAATATGGGTACAATGTGTGAAGCCCATTTCTGGTGTCCCCCAGTGATATTGCTGGAATATTGCTAAAAGCAGCATAAAACCATAGTCACTTACTCGCTCAACCATAAATGGAATAACACCTTAAAAATCTACAGTTAATTGAATCTTAAGATTTGTTCTCGGCTGATGATAATAAATAACATTTCGCACTTGTGGACAGAATCTTAATGTAATGGGACAATATTTCTCATTTTAAGAGATTTTTTACTATATTATGACTCATATCAGCTTGACCAGAAATGGGATAATGCCTTTAAAATCTACAATTAATGGAATCTTAAGATTTCTTGTCGGTTGATGATAGTAAATAATATTTCACACTTGTGGACAGAATCTGAATGCAATGGGTCAATATTTCTCATTTTAAGAGATTTTTGACTATATTATGACTATTCTCAGCTTGACCAGAAGTGGGATAATGCCTTTAAAATCTACAATTAATGAAATCTTAAGATTTCTTGTCGGTTGATGATAGTAAATAATCTGAATGTAATGAGTCAATATTTCTAATTTTAAGAGATTTTTGACTATATTATCACTCATGTCCCTTTGACCAGAAATGGGATAACCCTTTCACATGTACAATTAATGGAATACTTGTAGCTGATTTTTATTAATTATTGATTAGATATTTACCCTTGTATTACTGTAATCAAACCGTGCAGAAGCGGCATAACACCTTTAAAATTTTTAACTGTTGAATATTTATAATTAATTTTAGCTTTTGAAAGTGATTAGGGCCACAAACTTAGCACATATTGAGAGAGGTCGTGATTGGTACTTTTATAGCAGTATTATACCAGTAAGTGTGTTACACAAGGAGTGTCAGAATTCAGAAATTCTTGTATTTACCCAGTGAGGGTGAAGGTAATACATGGATTCTTACATGCGTTTTGTAAAACAGAATATGTACTGTGTACAGTTCTTTTATCCACGTAATGTCAATCGCCAAGCAAGGGTACTATCTTATTCCGTGAATTTTACCTTCCGCTGTCAGGGGTGCGATTGGTTTGCCTGTTGGTCAAAGCGTTCGCTCGTCGCGTGGAAGGCCCGGTTTGATTCCCATCATGTGTTCAATGAGTAAACCCTGTTTCTGGTGTCCTGTGCCATGATATTCCAGGAATGCTGCTAAAAGCAGTGTAAATACATATTCACCCACTTACTCACTCCTTCTGCAGACGTCTATCCACTAGACCACTCACGCAGTTGATTTCGTGTAGAAGTGGTCCCCAGCAACACATGCTTAATTTTAATTGTCTTACTAGGTGACTTCATGGATCGGAGGTTCAACGTCCTCCGACGTGCTGGATGTTTGCTTATAATATCAATCACTATTTTGCTCTCTGCCCATGTGGACCAACATTTTACTGCAAGAACCAGTAATAGCAAGGCTGACCATGCAGGTGATATTCCCATGATCGGATTGGGAGTCCGGCTTAGAATCGTAAAATGAGAGGCGACTAACGAGCCTCGGGTAGTCAGGTTCGTTATTTGGTTGATTGCCAGACATCGTACATGTCGGCTTTGGACGTTGTTCATACTTAAACCAATCGTTTATTTACATGTATTTATATCGGGGTACATGACACACAATTAACGAAGTCACTACACAAGCATGCCCACCCGGTCCATCGATTGTGGTGCCCGTGAAGACCCGGGGTAGAACAGGTCTTTTCAGCAATCCATGCTTGCCCTAAAAGGCGACTATGCTTCTCGTAAAGGCGACTAACGGGATCGGGTGGTCTGGCTCACTGACTTTGTTGATGCATGTCATCGTATCCCAATTGCATGGATCGATGCTCATGATGTCAATCACTGGATTGTCTGGTCCAGACTCGATTATTTACAGACCGCCGTCATATAGCTGGAATGTTGCTCAGTGCGGCGTTAACAACCAACCAACCAACCATCGATTGTCGCCTCACATGACAAGCGAAGCGGTGGGTATGTTTTAAGCAATGCCCAACATAGACATACACAATGCACTGTCCATGGATCATCGTGATTTTAGGCTAGATATATAAATATATTATTTCGACTTGCTTCAATATATCTTTCTTTTATTTCAAATTGAAGCTGTCTGGTTCCTAAAACACTATGGAGTAACTATGTACTCCTTTCTGTTAGGTCTGGTTTACTGGTGCATGCATGCATGATCAGTCATATCCGTCTTACCGCTTATATCTGTTAGTTATACATTTATATTTATACATTTATTATAAATTTGCACACCACACTTCTGAGCTTGCATTACCTGCATCATGTATATGCGATAGGGTTAAGTTAAGGAGGTAATTTAGGTTACCACTAACTTGTATATGTGGGTAGAATACCATTCTGAAACAATCGCCAATATCCAGCTTGGATACTTCTTGGCATGTTTCAAAGCTTACATTGGTCTGCATCTACAGCATTCTGAAGTATGTATAGTATAACACATCCGATACAAACCCTCTATCGTTATCTATCGTTCTGAGTGATGTACATTTTTTCCGATATACATACTCCCCCGCGTCTTTCATTTATAATGATGTATATAACATGTCTGATATACAACACCCCGCGTTTCATTCTGAGTAATGTATAATTTATGCCCGATGTACCTGTGTACTTCCCCGTAACTTTGTAAAAAGAATTATAAAACACTTTCATCTTGTGTAATTTTCGCCTCAATCTTCTGGCAAACCATATACAATTAACCCATCGAACTAATTAAAAGAAGTGGAAAGAGCTTGTCTTTATACAGAGGCAAGTGAAATAATTGTTTTGAAATTATATAAATATGATTTCTCACATCTACTCATGTGTGAATTACAAGGATTCCCTTCAGCACAGTTCCATTAAATGAATTAATGAGGATACATGTTTTGCATTTCTATTCACAGTGTGAACGCACGTTAAATTGGGCCATAAACAACAGAATACGGAAAATTGTTTACAGTTACAAACAAAACAAAAACTAAATGGAATGCATATTGTGTCGAGGCTCTTTTATTCTACGGCCACAATCCGAAATATTTCAGAAACCTCCCGAATTACCGCTTTTACTTTTGTAATATGGCCGATTCCATTACATTCTATACACTACTGTGACCACAATGTGATGTAGAAACACATCCTTGATTTCAATTATTGATCTAATTATAACATAATTTGTTAAAAGAAATATCGTACAGACACAGTGACATTTGTGCATTAATGTGAATTGCCGCACAGAAAGGCGTGTGATTATTTGTCAAGTACAAAATAATAATAATAATAACTGAAGATGATTCCAATTTATTATTTGGAATGGAACATGGAAATATACAAAAGATCATAATAAGTACGCCCCCCCCCAAAAAAACCCAAAAAAACAACCAAACAAAAGAAAAACAAACAAAAAACAAAACAAAACAATAAACTAAATCATATTCCGCACATATATCGCCATGCGTTTTAGAGCTAACCGAAAGCATTACCGCAGTAAATGGGGTTTTGCAAACTTGTGGACTGTTTATCCCAGTTCTGGTCGTATCCCAGTTCTGGTCGCTACACACGTAGAGGGAGACCAAGGGTCACCACCCGATGTGAGGATCGTCAAATTGTGCGACAGCATCTTCAAGATCGCTTTGTTACTGCTGCGGAAACTGCTCGACAGACCATGAGGACACACCAGCGACACATTAGTGCGGACACCGTGCGTCTACCATTGCCCATTGACGGGTAAACACCTCCACTGTCACAGGCCACATCGAGGACCCATTCTGACACCTCGTCATCGCCGGGACAGTCTTCAGTGGGCAACACGGCACCAGCATTGGCGCCACCAGCAGTGGAGAAGACGAAAGCCGTTACTGTATCTCAACAGCAAATGGCAGAGAGAGAGAGAGATTCTGGCGACGCCGTGGGGAACGTTATTCGGATGCTTGCGTTGAGCCAGACTCGTGGGGTGGCATCATGGTGTGGGGTGGAATTGGTCTTGCACAGAGGGTCGGCCCTGTGGTCTTCCAGAACATCGGTCCTGGGAGAGGCAATGGTGTCACAGCAGCTCAGTACATTGATCAAGTCTTGAGACCACACGCCATACCTCATTTGGCACGTCGCCGCAACCACGAGTTTCAGTATGATAACGCCCACACTGCGAGAGCAACAAGAGACTTCCTCCAGCAGAATGGCATCAGAACCATGCAGTGGCCTGCCCTCAGTCCCGATTTAAATCCCATTGGGCACCTGTGGGACGAGATTCAAAGACGGCTGAATGACAACTGCAGCTGACCTGCGTCAGGCGTTCCTCAGTGTGGGCTCAAGTGCCTATGGCCTTCATCAACCGCCTCATCCATTCCATGTATCAACGTTGCACGGCAGTCATCAATGTACATGGCGGACACATGAGATACTGACTTGTGATGCCATTTTCTCAGAGACTAGTGTTGTGTTTCACTTTAAGATCATTTGACACTTTAATTTCAACCTTGATGATCAGTTTTGCCAAGTTTCATCTTTTTAATATGTCTCAAAGTATGTTTACAGTGTTTGGACAAATAAGGTTTCTCATATATCTATCCATGGTGACGTTTCTTTTGCGGTTCAGTGTGTTTAGGTAATATTTCGTACATATGTGAACAAAAATGTAATCCCGAAAGTCCTACAAATATCATCTTTTAATTTGTCAGGACGCACGCACGCACGCACACACAGACAGATTAATATATGTTCAGAGGATTAGCCCTCAATTAAATGTTTGTGAGCGGTTGAGTAGTTCCCATCTATGTTGTCATATCCCCTTTTGTCTCCGATATCTGTCACAAGTTCACTAATGGAGATTCTTCTTCTGAACATACCGTGTTGACACAGAGAATGTTGTAATGGTTAAAACTGTGAAAATTCTATTTATAGCATCACGTGCAGCACGTGAAAATCGCGGGGACGTGTCACGTGGTCCCTGTTCTGACAGGTGTTTCAGATGAACGCGAAGTCGTTGGTTGAGTCTGTAGTGTTGCTATATATTCTCTTATTTACTTACCATAATCATAACAAACCATTTTTATTTATTATTGAAATCATATTTATATAGAAATATTATTTCACAAGTGTATTAATTTTGTGTTAGACCTTTTTTAAGATTTGTTTTGTTTGCTTTTGGTTATTTTGTTGTTGATACTATTGAAACACTCCACAATTGTAATAATATATGTGTAATTTGTGGTTTATATTTAAGCTATATAAACGAACAGTCACCCCTTCAGTGCACCGACACAGCACATTCCGGAATCTTCTCCGAGAACAATATTTGATTCGTCCGATATCTAAGGGAGGTAACTCTACCAATGTATCGCGGGACTTCCGAGAGTGTAAGTTGGTAAACAGTGAACGTTGTGTGATTTCAGACAACCATTGTTGTATTCCTTGCTGATAATTGCTAGGAAATAGACGTTACAATTCTGTCCCTAGGGTATTGACTACCGTGTCATATCGAAGAGTGCTATGGCCGACTTTGGACCAGATTCTGGCGGCAGAATAAAGGTGAGTTGCTTCTTGGAACAGATGCACGTAATTTCGTTACAGTGATAAGGACCTCCAAGTTACAGTTATTAGCGCCAGTTTCTGTTGACCTGATTTTAATTTGTTAATGAATTGTCGAAAAAATGACTTGGACATGTCATTTGCTTGAACTTGTTGAAAATAATATGGTAGGCAGCGGTAGAAACTACAGTTTCAGTCAACCAGTCCTTATAATGACGTATAGCAAACCCATTAAACATGTTAAAAATTGCAAATTTCTACTAGTCCTTATGATACCTTTACTATTTTGGGGCAGTTTGGCAAGGACTTGAGGACTAATGTCAATTTCTAACACTGGTAGGTTATTATGATATGTTGATGAAACTGCTTGGATCAGAGACCATACAATATTATATGGTCTCTGCTTGAAGTAACACAATGAACACAGCATGTGCAACAACCTGCACCAACATTTAGCATTGTAGACAATATGATTCTTTGCAGGGACTTTCATTAAAAAAAACCCTCCTTACTAAAGTAATATTCTCAATTCGATCCTCACAACTGATTAGAGCTGGGACAAGTCCAAATTTACTACCTGGGTACTCGACACACTATTACCCGGCCCTAACCGGATACTCGCTATAGGTATCAAGAGTTGGGTACAAAATGTCCGAAAGGGAATTGTTTTACTGCAACCCTGGCAAAACCTATTTGGATAAAACGATCTGATCATGCATACACTGCAGTAGATAGACTCTTTATCCTTACTCGAACATATAAAAGTCAGAACGTATATTTGCACAGTGAGAAAGAAATGTGAACATCTGCTATACTTGTTGTGTAACCATTGAGTTTTATGGTTACTGTCATTACCACTGATTACAGCATATCACGTGACTAACCACAGGTCCGGGTAGTCATGTGGGTACCCGGGTCCAACTCAGGATCCCCCAGACCTGAATTAACCGTCCCAGCCCTACAACTGATCCTAAGGATTTTAAATGGGTAAAATTCCGTAAAGGGGTGCTTGATTGGGATTGGGATATCAAGGGCCGAGTATAGAGTTTGGGGTAACCTACCCAAACCCTAACATGATCATAACTAACTCTAATGATCGCAGAGTGCCGCGGGAACCACACCTGGCAGCCTGAGCCAATTATCGCTGTAGAAACTGTGCCAAGTGAACTGCCATGTTACCGTTTGAGGGGGCATGGGTGACCCAGTCGTCTAAGGCGCCACGATTCGCTGTGCAGAATTGCGTCCCTTGGGCACGCTGGAAACCTATGATTGTGGGTTCGAATCCCAATTCGCCCCGATTATGTTTCTAGGTTTGTCAGCACCATACCTGTGCCTGTGGGTCTCATGAAGTGGTAAACGTCTAAGACATGCATCACTTCGGGCTTTCCTCCCACATTAAGCTGACACGCCGTGATATAACTGGAATAATGTGAAAAGCGGTGTTAAACCCAACTCACTCACTGTTACCGTTTGATGTTCATATCTAACCATTTGTCATTAACGGGAACACAGGAATGAGGTAGAAAATGAACACGTTCACTTTGGCATCTTTTTTCAAATTGCATGCATTTATGATATACAGTGCAGAATACGCTGGTGTAATGAATGTTGTACAAATTGCAGCCCATCAGCTGATCTAAACAAAACAATAAACTTGATAAAGAGTGACAGATGATCTGACATTCTTTATCTTGTTTATTGTTTTGTTTATTTGTTGTTTAACATGTTTAACGCTGCACTCGGCAATATTTCAGCTAAATGACTGCAATCTGTAAAAAATATTAAAGTTTGCTAACTTGGTTGATGCATGTCATCGTGTCCCAATTGCGTGGATCGATGCTAATGATGTTAATTACTGGATTGTCTGGTCCAGACTTGATTATTTACAGACCCCTGCATATAGCTGGATTATTGCTGAGTGTGTCGTTAAATAACAAACAAACTACAACAAGTTCATTAAGTCTTTAGAACATTAGAACCTTGGAAGGGACCCTTGAGTTTCTGGGTTTTGTACACTTCTGATTGTCAATCTCAAGACATGATGTTGTGAAATTGTTGTGTACCGTTGTTTGATAGCCTGTCCTGGATTTCTGTCTGCAGGGCGTAACTCTGGTCAAGCCGATCGTCTATGGCAACATCGCCCGCTACTTTGGCAAGAAACGGGAAGAGGATGGACACACTCACCAGTGGACTGTGTATGTGAAACCGTACAAGAATGAGGTATAGTGTATTTATCAATTGTTTACTTATCCTGCATTACTCTTCAATGTATCTACTGCTTCCTTTCAACAAAACGAATCTGCGGGGGTCCAGCTGAGAAAGAAAGTTGTTTCACTGAAGTGTGTGGCAGGACCCTTCTCGTGAACATTGATCTGTTAAACCCTCAAGAATGAGGTGCAGTTAGTGTTTCAATTAGTTTGCAAAGTTCACTTGTGAACAAAAAATGTTGACTTGTTAAAAAATGTTGCAAGCCCTCATCATATTTTACTGGCCAAAACAATGAACTACGAAATGAAAACAAAATGACTACAAACTGACAACAATTGACTTGATAATTCATAGAAAGAGATATGTATTGACAAGACAATCCGGCCAGCTTTACGAAAATGTTACTAGCCCAGTTTAAGAGTCACTGGCTTTTGGCTAGTGGACAGGTAGCTATTTTGAACACTTGGTGCTGTCTGGTCGGGGTGTCATGATAAATCAAAATATCGATATATTACTATTGCTAAGTACTTAAAGTCAATAAATCGAATGTTAAATCAGTTTCTGATCAATAGTATCGATTTCAGTTAGGAATATCCATGATTTCGATTGTATTTACCATGTCAATAAAATACATGCAATGCTGTTCAAATTTGATTTTCTTTTGATCATGATCATGATCATGATGAGTGGTAGTAATTTGCACATGGCAATGTCGAAGTTTCTTTTTCTTAGATAATTAGGGTAAAGAAAAAACAAATCAGTCATATCTGAAACTTTACTTTTTATTTGTTGTTATGGTTATCACATTCAAACGAAAGTTCAGTTCCAAGGTTTAATTCAACTCTAAAATCCATCTAAAATGATACACTGAAAACTTTCAATATTTATCGCAATAGTTTCTTTCAATATCAATAGTTATCACAATAGTGATTTGTTGTTTAACGCTGCACTCAGCAATATTCCAGCTATAGTATATGATGGCGGTCTGTAAATAATAGTCTGGACCTGACAATCCAGTGATTGACATTGTGAGCATCGATCCACGTAATTGTGATAGATGACATGCATCAACCAAGTCAGCAAGCCTGACCACCCGATCCTGTTTGTCGCCTCTTATGGCAAGCATTAGACTAACATTTAGTCTCTGAAATCTTATATTACACAATATCCTTCTTGACTCTAAAAATAAAAAAATTCCCTATGCTGATTTCAGAATTCAGAGATTTGTGGAATAGAGCTAGCTTGAGCTGGCTAGACTTGCTTTTGTATGCATTTCTAGATTATTATTTTTTCATAAAATAAATATATTCCACGGTCATGGTGCAGGACTAGGCAAGCATGGGTTGCTGAAGACCTATTCTACCCTGGATCTTCAAGGGACCAGAGCTAGCACTATAAATCGGCATCAGTCCGGACTAGTACAAGCAGCCACACACACACATACACGTGCATGCACGTCGCTATATAAGTGCAATAATCTTGGACGCAACGTTAAACCCAATTTCACCTCACCTCACCTCAAGGGACCAGAAGATTCTTGATAACCCTTGCTTGTCATTGGAAATGGATTGACTGGTTACAATGGTTACAAATGCAATGACCTGGCTGAGTTTGTGTAACACAGCTTAGCATGGTCACCCTAACAGCATCTAGTTTTCCGGGGTAGAATAGGTCTTCAGCAACCCATGCTAGCCGTAACAGGCAACTATGTTGGTCGTAAGAGGCGAATAACGGGATCGGGTGGTCAGGCTCGCTGACTTGGTTGATACATGTCATCCATCCCAATTGTATGGATCGATGCTTATGGTATTAATCACTGGATTGTCTGGTCCAGACTTGAATATTTACCAGCCGCCGTCATATAGCTGGAATATTGCTGAGTGCGGCGTTAAACAACAAACAAACAAACAAAACAAATGATGCATGTAATGGTGTAAATCACTGGATTGTTTGGTTCAGTCTGGATTATTTACAGACAGCCGTCACAAGGCTGGAATTTTACTTAGTGCAGCGTTCCAGTTCTAGTTCGTCTTGAGCGTCCGCCCGGAGAGCGGAAGGTCCGTGGTCCAATCCCCGGACGCGTCATACCAAAAGACGTTACAAGATTGTACTTGTTACCCTGTCTAGCGCTCGGCATTAAGGTGCTAAAACAAGGACTGGTCGGCTCGGAGTCAGTATACTGTGTCTGAGTAGGGTATTCATGTTAAACTGCGGCACGGTATCTCAGTGAGCTAGCACTATAAATCGGCATCAGTCCGGACTAGTACAAGCAGCCACACAAACACACACACGTACATGCACGTCGCTATATACGTGTATTAATCTTGGACGCGACGTTAAACCCCATTTCACCACCTCTCTTACAGGTCACTGTGATGGGTTTTATGATACCGCTGAGCCGTGGCATAAACCAACATTCAGTCACAGGTGTGATAAATGAAGTGGGTGTGGTTGATGAGGATGTATATAATGAGGCATAGTCCATTTCACAGTGCCATGCTTTCAGAGTGGTCATCAACATGACATTGTTCCCCTTTCCTCCACAGGACATGTCAGTCTATGTGAAGAAAGTCCACTTCAAGCTGCATGAGAGTTACCCCAACCAAAACAGAGGTGAGTAAATCGGGACAGTGTTTGAAGCTGACATAAAATCACTGTAAGTACCCCACTGTAGGTATTGACACTGTGCATAGATGTCATCACCTGGTGCGAACCGTGAAGATCCAGGGTAGAATTGGTCTTCAGCAACCCATGCTTGCTGTAAAAGGCAACTATGCTTGTCGTAAGAGGCTTCTCACGGGATCGGCTGGTCAGGCTCACTGGTTGATGTATGTCTTCGATCCAAATTGCGTGGATCGATGCTCATGATGTGAATCACTGGATTGTCTGGTCCAGACTTAATTATTTACAGACCGCTGTCACATAGTTTCAATATTGCTGAGTGCGGCGTTAAACAACAAACAAACAAACTTTACCTGCTGCCCACATTCAACCCCAGGGCTTCCTTGTCATAACCGACCCGTGCATATTCGGGGTACAAAAGATTTGCAGCAACCCATGCTTGCCGTAAAAGGCGACTATGCTTGTCATAAGAGGCGACTAACGGGGTCGGCTGGTCATGCTCGATGACTTGGTTGATGCATGTCATCGAACCCAATTGTGTGGATCGATGCTCATGATGTCCATCACTGGATTGTCTGGTCCAGACTTGATTATTTACAGACCGCGGTCACATGGCTGGAATATTGCTGAGTGCGGCGTTAAACAACAACAACAACAACAACAACTAACAAACAAACAAACAAGAATCACCTGGTGCCTTCATTCAACCACAAAGGCTTCCTTGTCATAACCAAAGATATGTTAAACATTTATGTGGTTCTGGATTCAAACACTGATCAGCAAGGGTCCTGGACTCTTTGTAAGTGCCATGTTTTCTGTTGCCAGTGGTGATGAAGCCACCCTATGAAGTGACGGAGACTGGGTGGGGAGAGTTTGAAGTCGTCATTAAGATCTACTTCAACGACCCCAACGAAAGGCCGGTGAGTAATGATGGACAGTATATTTTAAGAACCAGTTGATGCCATTATGTTTCATGATGTGTTGTAGGTGAGGGTGTATTATTTACTAAAGCTGTGCATGTGTTGTGGGTGAGGGTGTATTATTTACTGCAGCTGTGCGTGTGTTGTAGGTGAGGGTGTATTATTTACTACAGCTGTGCGTGTGTTGTAGGTGAGGGTGTATTTACTTCAGCTGTGCGCGTGTTGTAGGTGAGGGTGTATTTACTGAAGCTGTGCATGTGTTGTTGATGAGGGTGTATTTACTGCAGCTGTGCATGTGTTGTAGGTGAGGGTGTATTTACTGCAGCTGTGCGTGTGTTGTAGGTGAGGGTGTATTTACTGCAGCTGTGCGTGTGTTGTAGGTGAGGGTGTATTTAATGCAGCTGTGCATGTGTTGTAGGTGAGGGTGTATTTACTGAAGCTGTGCGTGTGTTGTAGGTGAGGGTGTATTTACTGAAGCTGTGCGTGTGTTGTAGGTGAGGGTGTATTTACTGAAGCTGTGCGTGTGTTGTAGGTGACAGTGTACCACCTGCTGAAGCTGTTCCAGAGTGAGACTGACATCATGCTTGGCAAGAAGTCCCTGGTGGCCGAGTTCTACGATGAGCTGGTGAGACACACAGACCTGGCGTTAAACAACAAACCAAACAAATGTTATAAGCTGACATGCAGTGGTTGAAAGGAAACATTCAACACAGTTCCCGCTGATTGCTGTGCAGAGTTGCCTCCCTTGGGTTTCACAGAAACCTAGGATTGTGGGTTCGAATCCCGGTTTGCCCCGATTATGTTTCTAGGTTTGTCAGCACCATACCCGTGCTCGTGTGTTTCACCGAAGTGGTGAACGTCTAAGACCTGCATCACCTCGGGCTTCCCTCCCACATTAAGCTGACACGCCGTGATATAACTGGAATACTGTTAAAAGCGGCGTTAAACCCAACTCACTCACTCACTCACTCACTCACTCACTCACTCACTCAACACAGTTTCCCACCTCACTCAATGTGCAGTTTTATGCATTTAAACACACGTAACTGAGTTGGACACTCTAACATCATGATGTTTCAGGTGTTCAATGATCCGACAGCCATGACGCAGCAGCTCCTGAGCAACGTGCGGCTGATGCCAGTGGGGACGTACAAGCACGAAACTGACTGTAAGTAGGATGGACTGGTCATAGAGGCAACATTTTTTTAAAATATTCCTTGTTTTTTGTTTGTTTGTTGTATAATGCTGCACTCGGCAATATTACAGCCACATGACCGCGGTCTGTAAATAATCGAGTCTAGACCAAACAATCAAGTGATTGACATCATGAGCATCGATCCAAGCAATTGGGATACGATGACATGCATCAACCAAGTCAGCGAGCCTGACCACCGGATCCCGTTAGTCGCCTCTTACGACAAGCATAGTCGCCATTTACGGCAAGCATGGGTTGCTGAAGACCTATTCTACCCTAGATCTTCAAGGGGCAAAAAAAGCCTTGATGCACATTCTGTCAAAATATGTATTTAGCTCACCTTGACATCATCAATGTGAGCTTATGTTGTGGGTCTTTGGTTGTCATTTGTCTGTTCCTAAGTACTGAATCATGCTATCAATCACTGCATTGTCTGGTCCTGGCTCGATTATTTACAGTTCGCCATCATATAGCTGAAATATTGCTGAGTGCGGTGTAAACAACAAACAAACAAACCTAAGTATTGAAGCTGAGACCTCAGAAGGAGAAAACTGTGATAAATGTTTATGATTGTAAAATATTTGTTGGTGTAAAATTTTGTGAAATGAACATTCTATATTCAACGTTTTGAAAACAAGATGAAATGTTATGTATTACATGTGTTTTCAGTTGATGAGAAAAGGGAGAGAACTCTGACCAACATTATTTCAGCTAAGAACAAGATTCGGTACGAGATCTCTGAATTGAACGAGAGACTGAAACAGAGCAAAGAGCTGATCCAGCAGTTCAAGGATGACATCACAAAGAGGGACGACCATGAAGAGAAGCCGGTCATCAAGATGGAGGTGACCACATGACAAGAGGCCGGTCACCAAGAGGATGGCATCATCAGCAGAAGCCCGTCATCATTGTGAAGGTGGCTGCTGTATGGCCGACTGGACAATGTGAACTTGAGGGTGTTTCTATGACATGGATGAGGATTCTTGGAAGTGTTTTGAAAGACACAAGGAAACACCAGAGGTTTATAGTGATGTAATTGAAGATGCCATGGTTGTACTTTTGAAAAAAAGATTTGTTATCTGAAAGCCATGGAAACTTTGTAATTCGAAAGGTTTAAAGTGATTTCAAGAATACTGTCCTTAGGAAAGATTCCACATGGTTCACCTTTGAGTCTTGTACCAACTTTAGTACATCTGCACTGATGCTGACATTCACATTGCTGGCAGTGCTTGTGTTGATTCAAACCCAGGTGACAGGGCAGGTTTCAGTTAGTTAGGCTTGTTTCTTCACCATGCTTTCAAAAGCATTGCTACAGGGGAAACGTCACTGTAGATGACCCGTCTCAGGTCATGAATATTTTGTCTTTGTCTCTACGAGTATACCAGGATGTATGTAAGTGTTCACAGAGACCGTTATTGACCCGTGAAGATCCGGTGTAGAATAGGTCTTCAGCAACCCATACTTGCTGTAAAAGGCGACTATGCTTGTCGTAAAAGGCGACTAACGGGATTGGGTGGTCAGGCTCGCTGACTTGGTTGATGCAGGTTCCTCGATCCGAATTGCGTGGATCGATGCTCATGATGTCAATCACTGGATTGTCGGGTCCAGATTCGATTATTTACAGACCGCCGTCATATAGCTGGAATATTATTGAGTGCAGCATTAAACAACAAACAGACTGTTGTTCGGCCCCTGCAGCAAATGATATGTTGACTTGTTATTATGTAGTTTTGCATATGTGACATTTTCGGAAATTATTGTTGGATTTTTTCCCGTCCCAATTTGAGCGCCACAGGTACTTGGGTTAAGACCGTACCTAAACCTGAAGTGTAACATTGTCCTGGTCCAGTGGAGGATGTCCACATGTTGTGTTCATCATTGAAGACGCCCGATGCTTATCCTTCTTCAGCAGCTGTGCTGATGAGTGGTTTCAACACTAGTAGTATATTTCTTCAGTCTGCGGGGCGGTCGGGTAGCCTGGTGGTTTAAGCGTTTGCTCGTCACGCTGAAGACCCAGGTTCGATTCCGACATGGGTACAATGTGTTAAGCCCATTTCTGGTGTCCCCCGCCGTGATATTGTTGGAATATTGCTAAAAGCGGCGTAAAACCATACTCACTCACTCACTCTTCAGTATGCAGAGGGCATGGATGGCCCAGTCGTCTAAGGGGCCGTGATTCGCTGTGCAGAGTTGCATCCCCTGGGCACGCCAGAAACCTATGATTGTGGGTTCGAAATCCAGGTTCGCCCTGATTATGTTTCTAGGTTTGTCAGCACCATACCCGTGCTCAATGCATCACTTCGGACTTTCCTCCCACATTAAGCTGACACGCCGTGATATGACTGGAATAATGTTAAAAGCGGTGTTCAACTCAATCACTTACTTCAGTTTGCACTTATTGGACCTCATCCCACATCATGCAATCATGTTATAACTAACAGAACATTTAAAGCAATAAGGGATAGAATTTATGGATGATAACTTCTTTATTATGAGGAACACAACGGTTTCAAAGTATATACTTACTCCTTAATCGGCTCAAGTGAATGTATCACTTCTTAGTACCATTCAAAGACTTGATTTAAAGCAATGTTAAGATCACTGTCGTAAGAGGCGACTCACGGGATCGGGTGGTCAGGCTCGCTGACTTGGTTAATGTATGTCATCATATCCCTATTGCAAGGATCGATGTACATGTCAATCACTGGATTGTCTGGTCCAGACTCGATTATTTACAGACCGCCGTCATATAGCTGGAATATTGCTGAGTGCGGCGTTAAATATCAAACAAACAAACATAATGGCAGTGTGAAATGTGTTAGATATTTCCCAGGGAATACTGGCAACATGGCATTGTCCTAATAAGAACAATGTTGTGTGGGAATCGTTGAACTGTCCGTGACAAATAACAATGTTTTGTACAACTCATCTTGTGTATAAATAGCAATCATCATGTTTGTGTTACTGTTGTGCGTGATGCACCTTCAGGAGGTTAAAAATCCCATTGCCCGATGCCCTGGACAAGTGAATATTCATTTCAGGCAATCAAAATTTGCTATCACTACTTGTCTGTGGGAGGGGGCATGGGTGGCCCAGTCGTCTTGAGCGCCGCGATTCACTGTGCAGAGTTCAACCCTTGGGCATGCCAGATACCTATGATTCTAGGTTCGAATCCCAGTTCGCTCCGATTGTTTCTAGGTCTCACTCACTCACTCACTCGACATGAGTGCAAGTTTGGACATCGGCGATGTCACATGCTTTTTCTTGCTTAAGTGGATTTCAGAGATTGTGTTTGTATTATTCACTGTTTTAGTTCATAAGGCGTTTCTAAAGTTTCAGACAATTCATTTCGTGGTTTAGTACCCATCGGGTAGTGTAGATAGAAGCTTTAATAACTGTTTTAGTCAAGCCGGGCACAGTGTGTTGCCATTTGACAAAGTTAATAATGAATTATTGGGACAGTCTTTGTCTGCCTGAAAGTGGAAGTAAGGACAGCATAACAGTCAATATAAGATACATATTCATGGGACCCGTGAAGATCCGGGGTAGAATAGGTCTTCAGCAACCCATGCTTGCCGTAAAAGGCGACTTTGCTTGTCGTAAAAGGCGACTAACGGGATCGGGTGGTCAGGCTCGCTGACTTGGTTGATGCACGGTCATCAATCCCAATTGCGTGGATCGATGCTCATGATGTCAATCACTGGTTTGTCTGGGCCAGACTCGATTAATAACAGACCGCCGTCATATGGCTGGAATATTGCTGAATGCGGCGTTAAACAACAAACCAACCAACCAACATTTTCATGGACATAATCCAGTCACAAAGGAGACTGCTGGCAGATGACAGTATTTAATAGTGTCTGACAAAGCCAACATAGAGAAAATGGAAAGTGTCAGTAAGTGGGTCAGGTTCCTCCTGAATCGTTTGATTTCATCCAAAGACTATCCAAACACAGGAAAGACAGTTCTAAAAACAGTGAGATACACTCAACAGTGTCTTGTCAACAGTTACGGACAAGACATCAGTGGTTCGAGGATAATGTTGTGAGTCCCGATGTTAACCACCATGCTGGAATGCTGTGTTGCAGATCAGGCAGGGGAGAGGGAGAGATGGTTGAAGGGATCGTGTTGGCTAACCCAGGAGCCACCAGCTAAGTGACAGGCGGTGTCTGATGGGAGTTACCTCCCCTAACAGAAGATCCTGGGATTTATAAGCTTTCACATCCAGATTTCTGAATTCACTTTTGTTGTTTTATCAGTTCACAATTCTCTGGCTTTAAGTGTTTGTCAAAAACTTCAACTGCTTTCTTCTTGTCAAATTTTGTGCACATTAAACCATTTGTCAGATCTGCTTGGGGCACGGGTGGCCCAGGCGTCGCGATTCACTGTGCAGAGTTGCGTCCCTTGGGCACGCCAGAAACCTATGATTGTGGGTTCGAATCCTGGTTCGCCCCAATTATGTTTCTAGGTTTGTCAGCACCATACCCGTGCTTGTGGGTTTCACCGAAGTGTTAAACGTCTAAGACCTGCATCACTTCGGGCTTTAAGCTGACACGCCGGGATATAACTTGAATAATGTTAAAAGCGGCATTAAACCCAACTCACTCACTCACTCACTATCAGATCTGCTATTCCCTTGTCCACTGGTGGGCCTGTCTTCTCCACAAGTCTAAGGAAGCAGCAATTTTGTCTAAACTTGACACAGGAGGCGGAGATGCAGAATAGTCTGGGCGTGGCCATCTTGCTCCTGAGTGAAGGGGAGGTAGACTTGTGTGCATCACGTTTATATAGGCAGTTGCCAAAGTATATGTCTTGGTGTCCTGACTCCGAGGCTTTTCCTATAGATGCATTCATGTATGACTAGTCCGACCAACGGATTTATGCTCTCCCTCCGTTAAGTGTCATAGATCCAAAGGGAGAAAGCAGCACTCTTGATTCTTCCAAGATGGCCACCACAGAGCTGGTAACCAATGGCAATGAGACTGTGTGCAACTCCAACAATAATTCCCAGAGGCAGAACAACACTAGTTCTACCTTACAAGCCAGAGGAAGGGATCATATTGTTTATATTACTTTTGCCACAAGTATGTGTGGAACTGTTCTGTACATCACAACTATTAACCATGGTTAAAGCAACCATGATCTGATTGATGCCTTGAAATGAACCTTGGTTGTCAGAGAATGGCCATCTGCTGGCTATTAATTTGTGTGCGACTCCAACAGTAATTCCCAATCTCATTGGTTACCAGCTCTGTGGTGGCCATCTTGGAGTGAGTTGGGTTTAACAACGCTTTTAACAGTATTCCAGTCATATCACGGCGTGTCAGCTTAATGTGGGAGGAAAGCACGAAGTGATACAGGTCTCAGACGTTTACCACTTCGGTGAAACCCACGAGCATGGGTATGGTGCTAACAAACCTAGAAACATAATTGGGGCGAACCGGGATTCGAACCCACAATCATAGGTTTCTGGCGTGCCCAAGGGAGGCAACTCTGCACAGCGGCGACTGGGCCACCCTATTAATTTGGCCATCAAGCAGATACTGGACACATCCTCTAACAAATATCCAGGGATTTATTCAGATTTCATTTGAACAGTGTTACATAAGAAATTGAAGTTAACATGAAATGCTAATACAGACTACATTTACAAAATGGGACATATCTGATTGTGCTCACTGAGTCATTATGGTATTTGGTATTGATACATTATAGAGGACTCTCACACATCATAACCTTCAGCTCCCCCTGCTGGCTGGGAAACCAGTCTGCTCTCAACAAATAAGTTCTGAAGCTCACCTGAATTATGAAGAAATGTGAGTATGAGCTGGGTTTAATGCCGCTTTTAACAGGATTACAGTTGTGGGAGGAAAGCCCGAAGTGATGCAGGACTATGGTGCTGACAAACTGGGAAACAATTGGGGCAAACCGGGTTCGAACCTACAATTCTAGGTTTCTGCCGTGTCCAAAGGACAACTCTGCACAGCAAATCACGACGACTGGGCCACCGGTGCCCCCTCATGAAGAAATAATGGCCAACATGGTCAAAATTGGATTTGAATTCTGTGTCTTATTTAACAAATGTTATATTTGGGATAACACTTCCTTAGTAAAGTACAGATTCTCGTACATTTTTAGGTTGAGTCACATCTGGGATTTGAACCTACACTGCCAGAGTGAGGCAACTAATCGCCACCCTTACCCTGGATGGGACTCAACCTAAAAAAGTATGAGAATCTGTACTTTACTAGGTGAGGTGAAATTGGGTTTAACATCGCATCCAAGATTATTGCACTTATATAGCTGCGTGCGTGCGTGCCCGGACTGATGCCGATTTATAGTGCTAGCACCCTGAGATACCATGCCGCAGTTTAACATGAATACGCCACTCAGACACAGTATTACTGACTACGAGCCAACTAGTCCTTGTTTTAGCCCCTTAATGACGAGCCCCAGACAGGGTAACAACAAGTACCATCTTTGAACAGCTTTTGGTATGACGCGGCCGGGGATCAAGCCCTGGACCTGTTTGCTCTCCAGGCAGACGCTAGACCACGGAGGCAGTCTCAGTACTGTAGGGCTGGTGCAGGTAACTTGGGTACCCGGGTCGGGTGGGTCCTGAGTAGAACCTGGGTACCCACAGGACTACCCGGACCCGTGATTAGTCAAGTGATATATTGTTTAATGACAAGAAAGTGTTATCCCAAATATAACATTTGTTACATTTGACTACATTCTAAATGACATTGTGTGTTCATAGCTTTTGACCCTGTTTGAAGATGAACGCTGCACTCAGCAATGTAACTGCTGTATGATGGCCGTCTGTGTGTCTGGACCAGACAATCCAGTGATTAACATCATGAGTATCGATCTGTGCAATTGGGATACGATGACATGCTTAAACCAAGTCAACATGCCTGACCACCCAATCCTGTTTGTCGCCTTTTACGACAAGTATGGGTTGCTGAAGACCAATTTTTAACACGGATCTTCACAGGTGTATAATTGTGTGATTGTTTGTTTGTTGTTCAGCTGTATGATGGCGGTCTGTAAATAATCGAATCTGGTCCAGACAATCCAGTGATTGATGTCATGAATTGTGTGAGCAAATGATAGAGACACAATAGCTAACATCAAACAGAGTTGAGTACCATAGGTATTGTGGTTTCGTCGGCATGCACAACACACCTAGCACAATGCACAATGCACCATAACAAGAGTCGACATGACGTTCAGTCAGTTGACCAACAATTGAAAATATTGCAATCAGAAATGGTGCACTGGGACACAAGTGTGAGAATCATAACATGTAGCTTTCTCTCCCAACAACAAGTTCCCAATGAAAGCATCGTTCATGTAACAGGCATCAAGATATAAGGTCTTTGAAAGGCATATAGAAGTGATTCACATAAGGAAGAGAATATATGGATGTCAACCTCTTTATTATGAGGAACACAACGTTTCGGAGTATATGCTTACTCCTTCATCAGGTGAATGAATGCCATGAGGCAGAGAGCATATATATGTACATGTAAGGACAACGAAGGTAGTAAGATAACAAAGGTGGAAACTAACAAAGGATGCCAACAGATGATTAGCAATAGACAATGGAAGCCAACATTTAAGTAATCAGAGCTAAGTAATTGGTAATGGACACTGGGCAAATGGGGATGGGGGAAAGAGTACCGGGTGGGCATATACTCCGAAACATTGTGTTCCTCATAATAAAGAGTGAGTGAGTGAGTATGATTTTACGCCGCTTTTACCAATATTCCAGCAATATCACGGCAGGGGGACACCAGAAGTGGGTTTCACACATTGTACCCATGTCGGGAATCAACCCCGGGTCTTTGGCGTAACGAGCGAACGCTTTAACCACTAGGCTACCCGACCGCCCCTCATAATAAAGTTGACATCCGAATAAATATAGCAGGTTTCACAAACAGCCAGTGTTAGTTTCACCGTTTCTTGAATTTCTGTAAATGAAACCAGGTATAACAGAAGCTATCCTTCCACACAAAACAGTTACTACATCGCTTCTTCATGTACATAATGTAGGCCGGAACAGAAAACAATTCTAAACTTGACACAGCCATTATCAACTAAGACATTATCAAGCCTGTAGGGCTGGGTAACTCGGGTACTCGGGTTGGGTGGGTTTCTGAGTAGGACCCAGGTACCCACAGGACTACCCGGACCCGTGGTTAGTCACGTGATATATTGTGTAATGACAAAAATTATCTAGAACTCTCTGGTTGCACTGTAAGTCACTAATGTTCCCATTTCTTTCTGACAATGCACCCATTCCTTCTGACTTTTATATGTCTGAATAAAACTAAAACTTCATGCAGTAAACTTCATTGTATGCATTACCAGAATGTTTTACATCTACCGCATTCAACGTAATAAGCGCCCAGGGCGCTCTCAAAATTAGAAATAGGGGGCGCTCATTAGAATATTATTTTGAGTTGAAAGATTGTAAATTTTATGGTTAACAGCCTGAAGTGTTTACATACGACATATATATTTCAAGAATTTAATTGCCCATAATTAAGGGTGATATAACACACGAGTGCGTATTATACACGAATAAATAAGTCTTGTGTACATTGATCAATGGCAAGGGGTGCTGATTAGGATTGTTCACTAGCCAATATATTAGCAAATATCGCTGTGGGCGCTTATTACGTCAAAATGGTATATCTAAATACATTTTGCCAGGGCTACGGTCAAACTTTTCCAAATTAGACACTTTGTACCTATCTCTAGATATCTACAGCGAGTACCCGGGTAGGGCCGGTAATAGGGAGGTGGGTACCTGGGTAGTAAATTTGGACTCATCCCAGACCTACAAGAGAGACATTATCAAGACACAGACATGAAGTAAGAGACATTATCAAATTTACCTCTGTTAAACCGCTGATCATCTATAACGCTCATCAATTATTTGGCCCCCGAAGGTAGCGTTGTAGCAAGGCATCACTGAATCAAGTAAGAGACAATATCAAGAGACAGACAATATCAAGACACAGCATTTATCAAATTAGCCATTATTAAGTAAGCTATCATCAAATTGTCACTATCATTAATAGTCGCCTTCAATGGCAAGAATGGGTTGCTGAAGACCTATTCTACCCTGGATCTTCATGGGTCTCAATAGTAGTTCAACTGACTCGGCTGTGATGACAGAATATTCAATGAGTTATACTGCTGTTGTGCTACTCCATTAGATGCATTCATAAAAAATGATGACCTCCCTCCCCAATGACTCCTGACGACCTTGTCCCTCCCTACAACCACTGACCCCTGCTGACAATGTCCCCCCTGACAAACCTTGACCCTCCTGATGCCCCCTGACCCCTGATCCTCCGGACGGACAAGGAGCACTACAAGTTTTGACAGCCTGGCTCTTGTCTAGACCACAGCTTGGCAGCCAAAGCCTGGCATGTTCAAAATCATGATTCTGGTACAACTGTTTTCATGGCAATAGAAGCTGTTTGGGGAAAAGTGCTTTCTTTCAGATACAGTGTGAAATCGGGTCAAGGTCAGTGAACTGTATGTGTATGCTACTTTAAGCCGCACTCAGCAATATTCCAGCTACATGACGGAGGTTTGTAAGTAACTGAATCTGGACCAGACAATCCAGTGACTGATATTTTGAGCAGCAATCCAATAGTATTATAGGTCATGAGGGTGGGGTCGCTGAGTGCAGCGTTAAACAACAAACCAACCTCCCAATCCATAGATATCACCTCTTACATCAAGCAGTCACCTTTAACGGCAAGCATGGGTTGCTGAAGACCTATTCTACCCCGGAATCTTCACGGGTTGTTCTTAAATAGACGACTTAAAGATAGGTATGAGGTATGAGTAATAATTTATTTATTACTCATTTAGCTTTGCACATTATCAAACTTCAAAGTTGAAAAAAGACGTTGGTATAAGAGTGGCGTAAGAATACAACATTCATAGCTGATGATTTCACCATAGACTGTTCTCTCAAGATGCAAACAGGTAACAAAGTACAGTCAAGTCTCGTTACTCCGACACCCGTTAATCCGACAATTGGCTTTATCCGACACTAATGATGGGAACCGTTAGACCCGTTAATCCGACAGTCTCGCACTCCGACTCCGACACACCTACTTTGCAACGAATTACCGAAATCACTCATTGATCAGTCTTGTTAATCCGACAGTGATCAGCGTACGCCGTGGTCATCTGCCCGCGAGTACACAGCCTGTGTTATGAAGCAGTTGTTTTGTGTTGAGCTTTAGAAGTTTGAATGATTAGACAACATATTCCGTTAACAATGTAACATAATAATATGAATATTTCATTTATATTTTTTATGACGTGTTTGTATCGTTATCTATCGCGTAGTTGTCCGATTTTCGATCACGCACAGTGATACTACTTAATTTTGTTTGTCCGACATACTCGTTAATCCGACATAATCACATGCAACCAACAATGTCGGATTAACGGGACTTGACTGAATGTGCATTCTCCAAGATCCATTATATGAAACGATAAGATGCCAATTCTAACAACATGTTCATGTTAGTATTTATATAGAAACATCACCAAGTTGGCAACATCTGCATTCAATGGAAACACCGACATTCAAGCTCGTCTTAGTGTAGGAGAGGGAGCCCGCGATACGATGGACTCATCGCGTCATATGTCATGTGACTTATGAGATTTCATGAGTCCGCAGATTGGTTATCTGTTATGAAATTGATTGTAATTACTGCTAAGCTGCACCACTTGGGCAATTCTGGAACATGACAGATTCATGTCAAGAGATTGGATTAGATGACAGGAGGAAGACACTTGGTCCAAGAGGCGCTGCGTGGTAGCAAGAACAATCGGCGATGAATGCTGTGACATAACATTTGGTTTCATAGTGTTTGTTTGTTTGTTGCTTAACGCCGCACACAGCAATATTCATGCTATATGACGGCGGTCTGTAAATAATCGAGTCTGGACCAAACAATCCAGTGACTGACATCATGAACATCGATGCACGCAATTGGGATCGATGACATGCATCAACCAAGTCAGCCAGCCTGACCACCCGATCCTGTTAGTCGCCTTTTATGACAAGCAAAGTCGCCTTATATGGCAAGCATGGGTTGCTGAAGACCTATTCTACCCCGGAATCTTCACGGGTTTTGTTTCATAGTGATGCTGGGGACCTTTGTAATGTCACGATGATTGGACTACTACAATACAAAAATGAGAGTCTGTATATACGTGTTGGTTTGCAATTCCTGCGATAGATCAGAGGCAACTGCAGTAACTCCCAGACTTTGGAGTTTTGTCAGTATTGAGGTATGTCAATAAGACAGAAAACTTAGGGATGCATTCCTAGTGTACCTACGTAAAAAATATAGTGTCTATCAGGAGTTGATATTTCATCTAGGAGCAGATATAAGTTGCAGTAAACAGTCGCACAGTGCTGCCGATGCCACCATTCTAATGACCAGCTGATGCCAAAGATAAAAATAGTCACATCCACACTGTTCAATAAAGGTGTGCCGTTATCAAACAGATGATCTCTTCACAGAAGAATCATAATCATACATTTTTATGCTGGAACACTGTGTGGCACTTTGTTAAAACAACACACAAACCATCAATCCTGGCCAATTATACATACAAACAGTTCAACAGGGTCATTAACAAATATATTGCCGTGTTTTCAAACATATACTTGCCCTCTGGACAAACATCTTGCCTCCCATATGTATATATAAAATACACTATGTAAATATATTGTCATTTCATACACATTGATAGTTATATCATTCTGTTTCGATTATAGGTAATCTAGGAACATTTGGATTAAAAAATAAGGTCATTGTAAATGTATTGCACAATTTATAACAATATAATCTTTTGAATCACCTGGGGGAACACACGGGAGGTAAACACCTGGCAAGGCGGGGACTGACGATTGGAATTTATATTCGACTGGGGGTGGGGGAAGGTTAAAACAATTATTTGTTCCAGATATTACTGGAAAACAGTAAAAATAACTCTTCACTGGACGTGCTGGATAACAATAGGCTGTGATTTAATCAGAAATTCCTGCAACCCCTTCCCCCAGAAAATAAAATGGTGTGTTCCTTATAGAGTCCCCCATCGTGTGGGAGGAATGGACAAAATGACCTCGGCAAAACAATGGCCTGGAGCGGACAAACCATTGTCATCAGGGTCTGGGAGCCAAACCACAACTATGCACCGGATCCTGGCAGCCAGGGGACAAAACTCTGTTTAATATAGGATACATGTAGTACATAATGGAACAGGTAGATGAAACTTGATGTCCTCATGGCAGGTCACGTGGAAGTTGTTCATGATTCACATGTTATCAGCCATGATCACGTGGACACTATCCATCATTCACATGTTATCAGCCCAGATCATGTGGACACTATCCATCATTCACATGTTATCAGCCCAGATCATGTGGAAACTGTCCATCATTGACATGTTATCAGCCCAGATCATGTGGAAACTGTCCATCATTCACATGTTATCAGCACAGATCATGTGGAAACTGTCCATCATTCACATGTTATCAGCACAGATCACGTGGAAACTATCCATGATTCACATGTTATCAGCCCAGACCATGTGGACACTATCCATCATTCACATGTTATCAGCACAGATCATGTGGAAACTGTCCATCATTCACATGTTATCAGCACAGATCACGTGGACACTATCCATGATTCACATGTTATCAGCACAGATCACGTGGACACTATCCATGATTCACATGTTATCAGCACAGATCACGTGGACACTGTCCATCATTCACATGTTATCAGCCCAGATCATGTGGAAACTGTCCATCATTCACATGTTATCAGCCCAGATCACGTGGAAACTATCCATGATTCACATGTTATCAGCCCAGATCATGTGGACACTATCCATCATTCACATGTTATCAGCACAGATCATGTGGAAACTGTCCATCATTCACATGTTATCAGCACAGATCACGTGGACACTGTCCATGATTCACATGTTATCAGCACAGATCATGTGGACACTATCCATCATTCACATGTTATCAGCACAGATCACGTGGACACTATCCATCATTCACATGTTATCAGCACAGATCACGTGGACACTATCCATGATTCACATGTTATCAGCACAGATCACGTGGACACTGTCCATGATTCACATGTTATCAGCACAGCTCATGTGGACACTATCAATGATTCCCATGTTCTCAGCCAAGATCACGTGGAAACTATCAATGATTCACATGTTCTCAGCTAAGATCATGTGGAAACTATCCACAATTCACATGTTATCAGCACAGATCACGTGGACACTATCCATGATTCACATGTTATCAGCCAAGATCATGTGGAAACTATCCATGATTCACGTATTATCAGCCCTTATCACGTGGAAACTGTCCATGATTCATTTATCAGCACAGCTCATGTGGACACTATCCATCATTCACATGTTATCAGCCCAGATCACATGGACACTATCCATTATTCACATGTTATCAGCACAGATCACGAGGACACTATCCGTCATTCACATGTTATCAGCCCTTATCAGATGGACACTATCCATCATTCACATGTTATCAGCACAGATCACGTGGACACTATCCATTATTCACATGTTATCAGCACAGATCATGTGGACACTATCCATCATTCACATGTTATCAGCACAGATCACATGGAAACATCACTATTGTGGAAGTTACGGTAGTTTCGAAATCATTTTCCAGTCCCAAACATGTACTTCCAGCACAAATTACTCTTGTTCTTCGCATGTTTCGTGTTATACATTCTTCATGCCAATTGGTAAATCTATGTTAATTTTGGGTTGTGTCGAACATCAGATAATTCAAATATTGAACCTTTTCTGTTTCCATAGTAACAACTGTCCAACAAGAGTTTATGCTTCCAAGCTGATCTGCCATTGTGTCGGGTTGTGATGGTTATTTACAAGAACCGATATTGTTCATTCTAGCAGCAAACACAATCTCATCTGTGACACGATTCCAGTTGAACACTCGGACAGATACCCGTGAATAGCTCTCAACGACGACTAGTAGCTGACCCCAGAATCAACACATCCTCAGATCTGTCCTGAGGTACCCCTGAATCAACACGTCCTCAGATCTGTCCTGAGGTTCCCCAGAATCAACACGTCCTCAGATCTGTCCTGAGGTTCCCCTGAATCAACACGTCCTCAGATCTGTCCTGAGGTTCCCCTGAATCAACACGTCCTCAGATCTGTCCTGAGGTTCCCCTGAATCAACACGTCCTCAGATCTGTCCTGAGGTTCCCCTGAATCAACACAACCTCAGATCTCTGTCCCGAGGTAACCCTGAACCAACACATCCTCGATTCTGTCCCCAAGAGCCCCTGAAGGAACATGTCCCAGAGTGTCAGGAGAAAGTCCTCAGTTCACAAGTTACACGTGGACATTATGTTCTCGTTGTTTGTGTTGGTTGTTTACAACTTTCTGAAAGGATCTCGACTGATGAGAGATTTCGCGAAGTCTGACTGCGACCTGCAACCAAACCAAGTCACATCAGCAAGAACATCATGACATAATCCAAAATGGGATGGTATGTCTTCATCAACATAATGTTATATGGCAATGTATTTTATAGTTTAACAGTGATTGTAGCTGTGATGCATTTCTGTTGGGATTCGGTAGACACTCATTGCATTGTGTTTGGACAGTGATCAGTCATCAGGAAGTTACTAAATTCAGATGCTATACCGTGGACGGTGATAGTATGTTATGGAAACTCCTTTAATGTTCTAGTGCTGATGAACAAGTGAGGGCACTGTGTGGAACTTTACAGTGGCTGGGAAGGTTGGATATAAGGGGACAATAGCATGTTTACGTATCTCTCATGCATTTCATTTCGGAACCAGCTTTCATGTGAGGATCACTCATCATCCCTGATTCCCTGCCTAGCCCATCACTGTTGCCGCTGGGTCAATATATGTTACTATCACTTACTTTTGCTATCACTACTGTATTTTTGCATTTGATTTTGGTACCGACAACTGCCATCATATTATATACTGCAATTGAATATTGTACAACCACTCTATTGTTTACTGCCATTGTAACACACTATAGGTTCTTTTACGTCCAGTTTTCCAGGTTAACATAATGTTTCACTTTGGAAACCACCAGGCAACAGTACCCAGAACTGCAGCATGGCTCTGTTACCACCGTTCTTGATATTACTGAAGAGTGGGTGAGCAAATGTTTAATACCACACTTAACAATATGAGTTCCATTTCTGCCATCCTGCCTCAGTTATTTCAAATATAGAAAAGCTGGTTGGTTTATTGTTTAACGCCGCACTCAGCAATATTACAGCTATATGACGGCGGTCTGTAAATAATCGACTCTGGACCAGACAATCCAGTGATTGAAATCATGACCATCGATCCATGTAATTGGGATCGATGACATGCATCAACCAAGTCAGCGAGCCTGACCACCCGATCCCGTTAGTCGCCTTTTACGACAAGCATAGTCGCCTTTTACGACAAGCATAGTCGCTTTTTACGGCAAGCATGGGTTGCTGAAGACCTATTCTACCCCGGAATTTTCACGTGTCCCAATATAGAAAAGATAAATATCTGAAACAGATGTGCAGCAGGCAATATTGTGTTTGATATGACAACTACAGAGCTCCAGATAACTTGTTGAGAAATTGAGGTTTTACTCTAGGGTTTCTATTTTAATTGGGTTATTAGATTTTTTTTGGGTAGCTAATATTTTTTCACTCATCTACTTATCAATCTTTTGGGTTTTTCCCAAAATTTGTGAACATTTTAAGATGTAAAAAAATGAAATAAAATTTTAGATGTATATAATTGTTCTAAATATATAGGCTTGACCAGGAAAGTAAATTAGCTCGTAATTGTGTTTCGGAAATTAGCTCCTTTGTATGCATGCTGAAAAAGCTTCATTGGGTATTTACGCAAGCTGTTTTTATACATTTGAGTTTTTCATTTAACGCATGCGTTTCTGAATGCAAGTTAATAAAAAGTAATTGTGTCTTGAATATGTTTTGGGGGTATTTTATGCAAATACGCTGCTTATCTGTTGCTCTGCAACTAGCAGACCACATTTCTTCTGTTACAGTAAGGCCGTACCAGTTTAAAGGGGCACTGATCTAACGCATTTCCCCGGACTGATACGCAACGCAACTGAGCGTGACCAGAGACTGCAAGTACAGCTAAATAAACTTTGGAGGCTGGAGGCAATATTTGTTTTACGCATTTTTGAACACTGATTGGTTAACTGTGATCTATAAAGATTTCGACAAAGGGCGCATGTTAATTAATTTCTTCAGCCTAAACAAACAGACAAAAAGAACGGTGGAGCTCATCGGATGTCGTCATTTGGAAATACCCCAGGCTGTTATAGTTTAATATTAAAAAAAAGTATCCATGCAGTGAAAGCATTTTCGGATTTCGGATTGCGTCGATAATACGATTACTACTCCCTTGATGTCATCCACGTTTTCTGGTATAACCCTACACTTGTGTATTTGTCGTCATTCACTTGATACTCAGTTAATGAATTTATTACAGGTACAATTAGTGGTAGCACTACTTAGATTACCTGACAAAGGTTCCCATTTGGCATTTATTGTGTCTGGGGTAATTATTCAATCTAAATCCAGGTTTGAAGTGAGGTGAAATTTGTGTTATGTAATATGCACGTGGCAGCCCAGCAAGAGGTGAATGATCAGTTGATTTACTTTTTTTTGTAAATCAACGGATCGTTCCTAGTCATCAAACGAATAACAGGAAATACGTTGATTGATTAATCACTGTTATCTTGCACAGTGGATATGTCAAAAGTAAGAGTTTACATGTCTAGGTTTACTAAAACAAAGGGAATACACTCATATCATGGCGTGAAGTGCTGATGTAAAAACAACATACTTTGTTCAAAGGGTTAACTGATAATACGTTGATTGATTGCTCATTGTTATCTATCACTCAATGGATTGTTTTAGGAACCGTGGACGTTATGAAAATAGTTGTCACGTGGGCTTTCTCAGCCGACCCTTGAGACTTGACACCTATGTGAAACACCTATGTGAAACACCTTTGTGAAACACCTGAAACAATCTAAGTGATCAGTTGAGAAAGGAACACGGGTTATAATATTCCGAAACGATGTATATCTTGATTGTTACAGAGACACGTGACATCGAATAGGTTTCTTTGTACAGCTGCAGACGAGTGGGATATTGTTCCTTTGTGTGGATATTCACGGATACATTCCTCGAACAAGGAAGCTGCCTAAAATTATACACATAAATTTTGTAGGTTGTAATTATTGTATTTGCATTTTGTTTTCCTTCATTTACTGTAGCATTGAACCGATTCGTTCTTGTTCCTCTACGTCTTGGTTGGGAAATTCTTCAATGCGCGATAGACGTTGTTTTCACAAGTCTTTTCCTTTGTAAGCGTGTATATATTACCGTCATTTTGTAAAATGTGTTTCTCTCTCAATTTATAAAATGTGTAAATATTTCAGTCATTTTGACTGAAAAATCTGTCCAGATTGACTAAAATTGATTAAGACGATCAAAAGGGCCTAAAAACATCACAACAGATTATTATGAAGGTTTAGAAGCCAAACAACATAGAAATGTACTTTTCAAAGTAACATTTTCAGTCTCTTGGTGATGACATTAAACATCAAAATGTTTGGAATTCGCTATCATAATAATACAGATGGAAATGTTTTTAAGTCACTTTGTAAAATAACTGAATATTTAGGCGTTTAATAAATTTGAAAATGTTACAGATTTTGACAGTAAAAAAATATACACACTATAAAAAAAGCAATGCTCAGATGAAATATGTTCTTTGTGTTGCAAGTCAAAATAGTGTAAACGAAAATCGCAAAATTACCAAGCTAGTGACTTATCAAAACTTTCTAACCTTTACTGATGCTACCCACAATAATACCTACATTTCCTTATTATCTCGAAAACTGTATTTCGTTTTGTTGATCAATGTGATGATACGCCCTTATTACTACCCTTAAAAGTGACTAATATGCTTACGAATGGCGCAGCAGAGGTCGCGAACTAGTTTAGATTTCTGCTATACATCCGGGTACTCACTGGGAAAAAACAATAACAAAGGCAACAACCAGTCCAGGGGGAATTGCTGTAGATCAGTGCCCCCTTAAACGTAGGTCGAGTCTGTGGCTTCAACACTCTCTCAGCATCTCTACATACAAGACAGAGTTACTCCTGTCACACCAAGCTCCTACCTGTTTAAAAGTGGGTCGAGTGTGTGGCTCCTGGCTCCAACACTCTCTCAGCAACTCTACATATAAGACAGACTTACTCCTGTCACACCAAGCTCCTACCTGTTTAAAAGTGGGTCGAGTGTGTGGCTCCTGGCTCCAACACTCTCTCAGCAACTCTACATATAAGACAGACTTACTCCTGTCACACCAAGCTCCTACCTGTTTAAAAGTGGGTCGAGTGTGTGGCTCCTGGCTCCAACACTCTCTCAGCAACTCTACATATAAGACAGAGTTACTCCTGTCACACCAAGCTCCTACCTGTTTAAAAGTGGGTCGAGTGTGTGGTTCTTGGCTCCAACACTCTCTCAGCATCTCTACATATAAGACAGACTTACTCCTGTCACACCAAGCTCCTACCTGTTTAAAAGTGGGTCGAGTGTGTGGCTCCTGGCTCCAACACTCTCTCAGCAACTCTACATATAAGACAGACTTACTCCTGTCACACCAAGCTCCTACCTGTTTAAAAGTGGGTCGAGTGTGTGGCTCCTGGCTCCAACACTCTCTCAGCATCTCTACATATAAGACAGACTTACTCCTGTCACACCAAGCTCCTACCTGTTTAAAAGTGGGTCGAGTGTGTGGCTCCTGGCTCCAACACTCTCTCAGCAACTCTACATATAAGACAGACTTACTCCTGTCACACCAAGCTCCTACCTGTTTAAAAGTGGGTCGAGTGTGTGGCTCCTGGCTCCAACACTCTCTCAGCAACTCTACATATAAGACAGAGTTACTCCTGTCACACCAAGCTCCTACCTGTTTAAAAGTGGGTCGAGTGTGTGGTTCTTGGCTCCAACACTCTCTCAGCATCTCTACATATAAGACAGACTTACTCCTGTCACACCAAGCTCCTACCTGTTTAAAAGTGGGTCGAGTGTGTGGTTCTTGGCTCCAACACTCTCTCAGCATCTCTACATATAAGACAGAGTTACTCCTGTCACACCAAGCTCCTACCTGTTTAAAAGTGGGTCGAGTGTGTGGCTCCTGGCTCCAACACTCTCTCAGCAACTCTCGATATTGAGGCATGACCTCGTTGGAACTCGGAATATCTGGCCGCCGGCCACTCGTCACTGCCTCCATCACCTGGCAACACACAGTACTCTGGTTCACATCGTGAAACATTGTTCAATTTGTGAAACAACACTGATAATTAAAAGGACACTTGATCAACATTGTGATGTTAGGAACCGTCTCAAAAGTTCTAGATTAATGCACTGTATAAGAATTATTATTAATTACTTCAGCGTATGGATTTCAAAACAGCCATTCAAATACAATAAACAACAACCATTTCTTTTGAAATCAAGTGGTAGACTTGAAACATTTGCGATAATCCCTCATATAGTGACTCTCATAACAATAACAAAGCAAAACGTTGGAACAATGTACGCTAGTGAGATATCTTGCTTTGTCTGGTATGATACAACCTTGCTGATCAAATGTGTTTTATACTTCGGTAAGGTGAGGTGAGGTGAGGTGAAATAGGGCTTAACGTTGCTTTCAAAATTATTGCACTTATATAGCGACATGCAAGCTTGTGTGTGTGTGGCTGCTTGCACTAGTCCAGACTAATGCCAATTTTATAGTGCTAGCCCAATAGCCTTTTGGTATGACGCGACCGCAGATTGAATCTCGGACCTTCCGCTCTCTGGGCGGATGCTCTACCACTTGACCACGGAGGTGGTCTTTATACTTCAGAAGTGAAATTACTTTGTTATTGATAACTGAACCCAGAATTTGTCTCACTCTCAAGCAACAATTGATAGGATAGCTATTTCTAGAGATGTGTCTTCAAATCGGGCTCAAAACAACGCCATAGCGGTGAAAGGGTCCGGGGTTTTTATGACGACAGAATTGCGAAAAACTACCCTGGATCACTGAGGATGGGTGATACAAACCTCTTGTTCTGTTTGAAGGTCATCAAAGGGGTCGGCACACACAATGATCTCCCACATGATGACTCCAAAAGAGTACACGTCGCACGCGGTAGTGATGACAGCGTCGTCCTCCTGGGCTGTGGGGTGGGTGAGGAGCTCTGGAGCCGTCCACCGGAATGTAGCGGGACATGCACTGTACTGGCGCTGACCTGGAGACAGGAACCTCTCATAACCATGGTAACAGGTCAGTGTTTTTACATTCTGTTTTGGAATTACAGCTATTCTCAATTTTACTCTAGGACATGCAGTGAAGGCCACGACCCACAGCAAGATGCAGCCACAATACATGTTTGTAACCATTACTTATGTTTCAGCATTCTACCTTCCGAACAACTACTTACAGTTGGATAAAGTTACATAAAATCAGACCGCACTTTCATGCCCACTGCTTTTCAAACTGTTATTTACCAACTTCTGGTTTAAGTAAGATAGTATTTCCCTGACCAATTCTTTAAGTAAGTAGTATTTCCCTGACCATTTCCTTAAGGAACATACTACTTCCCTGAAGATTTTTCTAAGTGAAATAGCACTTAATTATATAAGTGAGTAAAAATGTAACATCGCATCGGCATGATTTCAGCCATATAGCGACTCATTAATTAAGATAGTACTTACCAGATTACTAAACTTAACATGAGATAGTACTCGCCTGATCATTACTTAAAGTAATGAAGTACTTCCCTTATCTTTATAGTACATAGATAGTACTTCCCTGTTCACTACTTAACAAAGACAGTACTTTCCAGACCACTACTTACAACAGCAGTCATCATTTTGACACTCCTGTCTGACTGGCTGCAACAGTTTCACCAGACCAAAATCAGCCACCTGCCAATAGAAAAAGTATAGTCAGAATCGGATATAACTGAAATACTCCCACATCATGCTGACACTCTGTGATATAACTGAAATACTCACACGTCAATCTGACGCTCTGTGATATAACTGAAATACCCCCACATCAATCTGACACACTGTGATATAACTGAAATACTTACACGTCAATCTGACACTCTGTGATATAACTGAAATACTCCCACATCAATCTGACACACTTTGATATAACAGAAATACTCTCACATCAATCTGACACACTGTGATATAACTGAAATACTCTCACATCAATCTGACACTGCCTGATATAAGTGATCCACTGTTCAAAGTAGCAGTAAACCCAACTAACTCACTAACCTTGATGACATCGTCTTGCAGCAGGAAGAGGTTGGCACAGCGGAGGTCGCGGTGGATGATGGGGGGCTTGGTGGAGTGCAGGAAGGCCATGCCGTCGGCCACGCCGTGACACTGAAAACAGAACATGAAATCCTCGTCATCTTATCTTTGGACTGCGATAATTGACAAACGACACCTTTTTTAACAATATTCAAAGCCAGTATGTTTAAGGATTGAAGATGTATTTGTTGACGTTCATCAGCTGATGAAAACAGTGCCTCACGTGAGCAAATTCCATGATGCTTTGAATGGACGCTTCATTTCATATACATTATCTGTTTGGCTTCAAAGCCTGCATCATTTATAGTGAGTTAGTGAGTGAGTTTGATTTTACGCCGCTTTTAGCAATATTTCAGCAATATCACGGCGGGGAACACCAGAAAAGGGCTGAATCATTTCTAGCCTGAATCGATGTCGCTCTCAGTTTTCCCAAATGATTTTTAATGTTATTTTTAGACATTGAGGAATCCCCCTAAAGTAGTTTTGTATGTCTCCGCTCGATTGACATACTGATGTTCATCAGGAAATGAACGACAGCCTGGTAGTGTTTATCTAGGCAAGGTCACCCACAACTGTCAATATTTTGTAAATGATACGGCTGTGGTATTACTGACAGATGTTATTTTCTATAACAGACAACTTGTCAGTTGTATTCTCCATCAAACGCAGCCATTTTTTACATTTATTGTTTCCTGGCTACCTGGGGGTGGTCGGGTAGCCTAGTGGTTAAAGCGTTCGCTCGTCACGCCGAAGACCGAGGTTCTATTCCCAACATGGGTACAATGTGTGAAGCCCATTTCTGGTGTCCACCGCCGTGATATTGCTGGAATATTGCTAAAAGCGGCGTAAAACCATACTCACTCACTCACTCCTGGCTACCTGAGCCTGCATCTGAGAATGGAGACAAGAAACACAAAAATCACATTGATGGCCTGAAGCAGACTCTTATGGCTGTGAGTCGTCTCACCATCTTGACCCTCTGAGGCCATGTGAGTTCTCTCCCCTTGTGTTTGATGACATCCTTGAGACACTCGCCGTTGACATACTCTGTGATGATGTAGGGGTGTTTGCCGTCAAGGCAGAGGCCCACCACTGTCACGATGTTCTTGTGTCGCTGTCGGCTACAACACAAACAACACCTTATACTCGTAGGGGGAATATGTAGAATTGAATTGGGCTGGGACGAGTCCAAATTTACTACCCGGCTACCCACACCCCTATTACTCGACCCTACCCGGGTACCCGCTGTTGGTGTTAAGAGATAGGGGGAATATGTAGAATTGAATTGGGCTGGGACGAGTCCAAATTTACTACCCGGCTACCCACACCCCTATTACTCGACCCTACCCGGGTACCCGCTGTTGGTGTAAAGAGATAGGGGGAATATGTAGAATTGAATTGGGCTGGGACGAGTCCAAATTTACTACCCGGCTACCCACACCCCTATTACTCGACCCTACCCGGGTACCCGCTGTTGGTGTCAAGAGATAGGGGGAATATGTAGTATTGAATTGGGCTGGGACGAGTCCAAATTTACTACCCGGCTACCCACACCCCTATAACTCAAACCCTACCTGGGTACCCGCTGTTGGTGTCAAGAGATAGGTACAAAATGTCTGATTGGGAATATTTTGACAGTAGCCCTGGCAAAATGTATTTAGAGACATGTTTTCAACGATGTGGTCATGCATACACTGAAGCTGACTGAAGTTTTAGCTTTGTTCAAACATACATAAGTTATGAAAAAATGCGAACATTAGAAACTTAAAATTTTCGTGTAACCATGTAGTTATATAGTGAATTTTTGTCATTAAACAATATATCACGTGACTAACCATGGGTCTGGGTAGTCCTGTGGGCACCCGGGTCCTACTCAGTACCAACCCGACCCGAGTACCCGAGTTACCCGTCCCAGCCACGGTATTTAACAGTCCAAAGAAAATTGCAAAGTGTGTCACAGCTTGACATGTTATTCAGGTTAGGTATATTGTTTTTGAGATGGACAGGTTGAAATTAGACCAGAGATTTTGCTTATTTTAATATATTTCGCTTAAAAATTAACACTGCTCTCGGCAATATTCCAACGACTAGAAGGCAGCCTGTAAATAATCGAGTCTGGACCAAACAATCCAGTGATTGATATAATTATAGGCAGATCCAGAGGGTCCGGACGCCCCCCGCTTTCAAAACCAAATGCATTATGTTGGAGGCAGTAAAATTGACAGAGAGGATTTTGATATTTTGGAACCCTCGCTTTAAAAATACTGGATCTGTAATGATAATGAGCACTGATCAACACCAACAGGGTACGATGACAGGCAATCAACAAGTCAGCGAGCCTGACCGCCCGATCCCGTAAGTCGCCTCTTAAGACAAACAGTCGCCTGTTACAGCAAGCATGGGTTGCTGAAGACCTATTCTTTACGCGTCAGGGAAGGTAAAGGTACAGTTATGCCAAGCACCAAGAATCTCCATGTGTACTCAATTAAATGTCAAGCTATTTAAATAGTTGAAAGTCAGATAAGCTGCTTCCAGGCAACTGGCATTGTCTTCAAGTAGTTGTTAGGAATTGCAACTTGCGTCCTGCATACGGTACAGTGTAATTGTCACACCTTGATGTTGACAACAGTTAGAACACAAACAAATGCAAATAGTTTCCAGGTTCTTATTTGTATTTAGATAAATCATTTAAGAAAAGTGTTCAATAACAAGGCCAATACTTCGCCCTGGCCGAGTGAGTGACTTAGTTGGGTTGAGTTTAACGCCGGTTTTAACAGTATTCCAGTTATATCACGGCGTGTCAGCTTAATGTGGGAGGAAAGCCCGAAGTGATGCAGGTTTAAGACATTTACCACTTCGGTGAAACCCACGAGCACGGGTATGGTGCTGACAAACCTAGAAACATAGAACTGGGATTCGAACCCACAATCATAGGTTTCTGGCGTGCCCAAGGGACGCAACTCTGCACAGCGAATCGCGGCGCCTTAGACGACTGGGCCAACCGTGCCGCCTGTTTACTCAAAGGAAAGGAGGTAGTTAATCCTTGGCTATGATCTGCTGTAAGTGTAAATAAATAATATTTTTGTTTTTATTCGTGAGACACATCCTCGGCATGATCAGTGGATTAATGTTTTTATGCTAAAGTAACTGTAAGACATTTGAGAGACAACTCAGGAGACGGGGTCGCTGAGTTTCAGTCAGAGCGCTTCCCCTTGTTTTCTAGAAAGCTACTCCTGAGCAGGATATTTTAAACTATTCGGCTTTACTTCAGTTTTTAATTGTATTAAAAAGGAAGAGTACTGTGTGTCTTTTAATCATTCATGTGATGTCACGTGCCTTATTCAGTTCCGGAAATTGTCTTAAACTTTAAGAGTGAGTGAGTGAGTGAGTTGGGTCTAACGCCGCTTTTAACAGTATTCCAGTTATATCGCAGCGTGTCAGCTTAATGTGTGAGGAAAGCCCGAAGTGATGCAGGTCTTAGATGTTTACAACTTCGGTGAACCCACGAGCACAGGTATGGTGCTGACAAACCTAGAAACAAAATCGGGGTGAACCAGGATTCGAACCCACAATCATAGGTTTCTGGCGTGTCCAGGGGGCACAACTCTGCACAGCGAATCGCGGCGCCTGACAACTGGGCCACCCGTGCACCCCTTAAACTTTAAGAAAGTTTTGTATCTTGTGAAATTGTTTGGCATGTAGATAAGGAATTATAAGACTTAAAAAAATAAAAGAATTGGTTCTCAGGCAATGGCTTTTGAAAATATCATGCCATTGGATAACAGATGTGTAACCAAATAAGCAGTTGTGTACAATCAGCCTGGGAAAGGGCCTCCCTACATAAATGTATTCCCTGATGAGTAAAATACTGGAATACTGTATTGGACTACCCTTGGACTTGGAATATTTAAGGATTATTTATACTTTTTTTTAAAATGGAAATAAAAACTAACCCTGTGGCAAACTTTATGGCATAAGTAAAAAAATATCAATAAAATCTAAATACGAGTCAATTTCTTGTTCTAAAAAGTGTCTATTTAAAAGCATAAGTCTTCATATTCCTCTTGTTAATAATTTGTTTAAGGAACATTTTTGTTTATTTTCAGGTGTTTGTTGTACAATAAACAGTCGTAGCTTGTTGAATTTGCGAACAACATTAAGCAGAGGTCAACTTGATTTCAATATTGTATTAATAGGTAGTTGTTGATTACAACATGAAGTTCCAAACAATAATCTTGATTCTTTATTCTTTTCTTATTCTTGAGTCTCATGTACAAACATTAGATTGACTGTAACAGACAAAGGATTTCAGTGAGTATATGGCTTTTGAATTTCCTTAATTTACACATTAACTCATAATACAGCAGTATTATACTAGGTTGGGCTAGTTTACTTTACAAAGGCATGAACATTTAACAATAAAGTAAATTACAACACAAACCTGGAAATTGCACTAAGTACATAATAGTCCAATAAAATGTACAGAAACAATGCCTTAACTGCACTAAATAAACAGGAAGCTTCATATTTCATATACCTTTCATAACTTTAGGCCATGAGAATATTTATGAACAAAGTTGAAGTCTAGGGTGTATTTCCATGAGCAAAGTCTAAACCAGCCACAAACCCTCAATTATGAAGAATTAAGTTACTATGTATGGTAGAAATTAAGAAGATGCATTTATAAACAAATTCCTATTTATGAATTTTCAAATGAGTGAATAAATGTGGCTTACCATTACCTTAGACCTCACTGGCTCCTAGCATGACTTCCTCATGCATGCTGCTCAAAGCACATGGTGACATGACCACACCAATCTGTGCTTATCTCCCTTCTTATCAAGGTTGATGTAAAATTGGCACATGATCAAAAAATGAAACATAATACTCAAACCCAGGAAATTAAATAAACATCCTAACCATAACAATTATTTAATATTGTATACTGCTGTTGTTATATGTAATACATAATTTGTGGAAATTCTAGAAATCAGATTTCATACCTCCTTAACAAATTAAGCTATCATAATTGATAGAAAAAAGAAATATATATTTTGACCATTACAAAAGTTCCACGGCGATTGCATCAGAACATGATTTCTATTCACATATACCGTACAAACCGACAGCTCAACACCAACCAAATTCATCACTTTCAAGCGATATTAATAAACCTTTCATAGTCTGTGCGCATGCATTCCACGCTGTTGGCTAATCTGCTATGTGCACTAGAGCATGTTATTAATCACATAGCGGCATTCTGTACAAACCTATTTCAACAACTTTACATGATTATAATGAGTGAGTGATTGAGTCGGGTTTAACGCCGGTTTTAACATTATTCCAGTTATATCACGGCGTGTCAGCTTAATGTGGGAGGAAAGCCCGAAGTGATGCAGGTCTCAGACGTTTACCACTTCGGTGAAACCCACGAGCACGGGTATGGTGCTGACAAACCTAGAAACATAATCGGGGTGAACCGGGATTCCAACCCACAATCATAGGTTTTTGGTGTGTCCAGCGGTAGCGAATCTGCGGAGCGAATCGAGGCGCCTTAGACAACTGGGCCCCCCGTGCCCCCTTACATGATTATAATACAGATGTAACTGTTAGTGCAATTGGAAGAGTGAATATCATCCTACCCCATTTTTTAACCTGGGGATGAAATTCTCTAGTGTCAGGATGATTCTCCCTAGGGAATTTGAACCCATACCAGTGTGTTTAATCCTATTCTATACTATACTCTAGAGTAAAACTTCCCCTGGGATAATATTTAGGTAGGATATAATCCTTGCTTACACAATCACCTCTGTCTGTTAATCCGCAATGTGCATAGACCATAATGTCTACTCACATACCATGTACGGCGTCAGGAAAGTACCAGATGCCTCAATCACTTACCTGTCAAAATCATTGCAAGGAGAGTACGTAATCCCGCTGACATAGTGGAGTACTAATTAAAACTCCAGGCAAACTCCAATAATGTTACACTCCACTATATCAGTTCTATTTGAAACTTGCTAATAATATTGGTCGACTTAAAAACACTGCATTTTGCATATATACAGAACCATTATATTATACATAGCAATTATCTCCCTTTACCTCTCTCTCTCTCTCTCTATATATATATATATATGCACACAAAAAATTGTCAGCATCATCTTTACAAAATTTGTTTTGCTTTGTATATTTAATCAATACAAAATTGTTTATTCTTTGGAAATCTCATCAATACAAAGCATAAACATGCTTGTATAGCTGGGCTGTTTTGCAGAGGGAAGCTGTGTGTTGTCATTACAAACACAATAAAGTAGCTGTTACCCTATTCGACGTAATAAGCGCCCCGCTCTAATAAACGCCCATAGCGACATTTGCTAAGATATTGGCTAGTGAACAATCCCAATTAGCACCCCTTCCGATTGATCAATGTTCACAAGACTTATTTATTCGCATATAATACGCACTCGTGTGTTATATATATGCACCCTTAATTATGGGCATTTAATTCTGGAAAAATAAATCTGTCGTACATAAACATTTCAGGCTGTCAGCATAAACCACGAAATTTATCTTTCAACTCTGTTTTTTTCACCGAAATAACATTCTAATAAGAGCCCCCTATTTATAATTTTGAGAGCGCCCTCGGCGCTTGTTACGCCGAATACGGTATCCATCAACGTTTCCTGTGTCTTCATGTTCTTCCAACTTCTAAATGCCTCTCAAAGACTTCACCCTTACAAACACAGCTTTCTTAATGCTAAAACATGCAGGACTTTTCAAACGCCACATGGAATTAATATTTCGTATATCAGAATGTATTTTTCTTTACACAAAAATTAACCCTCTGTGCCAACAGTTCAGTTGAAAGAACAATTCATTCATTGTTTCCATATCATTACACAGATATTGTCTACCATATTGTCCTCCATTGTCACTTCCATTTGACAGAATGGTAAGTCGTTGTATCCTAGCAACAGTCTGTATTTCTAAAATCCAGACATGAGATGCAGATATATCCCAGTTTGTGTAACCTGTATTCTACATGTGCACACAGACAGGGAGAGTGTATCAGCTGTTATCAGAGTAAATATCCGGCTACAGATTAATGGATCATGTTGCTCTTTCACTCTATTTGGAGATTTCCATGCCAATATAACCTGTACCTTCTTGATTACTGTAAATCTTGAAATTAACGAGCGTGTGAATTAAATGCAAAAAATGCGATTGGTCTTTGCTCGCATTAATTAACTTCGCCTTTATGTCTCCAAATGGGGAGTCACATTGATATTGAGTCCTATTTTTGGCTTGGGGTCAGCAGTCGTATTATTTTGGAGACGCATTAATTTCCAGATTTACAGTATACAGAAAACGTTACTATTTTGTATTTCCTCACCTTGGAAAGATCACCCTTCAATAACAATACACTGGGAAACTGTACTCTACAACTAGTCTACTCTAGTCTTAGATGGAGAGACCCGTGAAGATCCGGGTTAGAATAGGTCTTCAGCAACCCATGCTTGCCGTAAAAGGCGACTATGCTTGTCGTAAGAGGCGACTGACGGGATCAGGTGGTCAGGCTTGCTGACTTGGTTGATGCATGTCATCATTTCCCAATTTTACTTGAATATTTCAAGTCAGTGAGTTTTGAAATTGCTCAAACACGTTTGAAATAGAGAGAGCATATATATATGGTAATGTTTGTGTATTATGAATGCTATGCCACTCAACATTTGCTAAGGACCAAAATACATGTAGTCATCTTTAGTCAAAGGTGTGATCCTTACCAAACATTGAGTAGTATATTATGAACACAATTTTATAGTCTATGGTCAAATCATCAGCAATGACAATATTCACACGCCACTCTTGTACCACACTGAATGTAGATCATGTGCAAAGTTTAAGTGAATAATGAATTATATACTACACTCATCTGAGTTAGATACAGATTTTATTACTCTTGTGAATTCAAAACGTGTTTTAGTCGCTTACACTCGTTAAGTTTTGAAATACTCTCATGGTAACAAAAACTACATCTAACGGGACTCGTTTAGTAATCTACATATCTCTCTTTTATGATAATAAATCTGTTTTGAGTCTGATTTGAGGCGTGAAATAGATGGCCAATCAAATGGCACACATGAGCAAAAGAAGTACTGTGCAATTGGTGATGCTAAGAGAAGGGGATACTGACATTTTGCAAAAGGAATCTATGGTTGCGAGTTGGTCCTGGATATTTATCGAGGATCTAGGAATTAAGAACACATTTTCACAAATGGACCCTGTGGAGGTTTAAAGGCAGGATCCCAGCACCTGGTGCTTGTCGGTAGAGCTGACTAACGTGAGCTTTGTCAAATCCTGACCCCCACACTGAGACGTGTAAAACTCATTCACTCACTCACCTGTGAAACCACACCTCACTCTTCATAAACTCCATGGTTGCCTCGGTAACCTGGTTGCCATGGATATTGATTGTCAACCTCTTGACAGCAACCGTCATGTCCTGCCAGGTGGCGATGTGTGTATCCCCGAAGATTCCACCTCCAAGTCTGCAATATAAGCATCATAGTAAGTACGCATACTATTTTCCTGAAGGCAGATTGCAGTAAATAACAGTCTGGAAAGCAGTGTCCATGAAAGTCCTCTGATTTTATGTAACTTTACGCAGCCACAAAAAGTGGTTAGGAAGGTAGGCATAGCAAAACAAATGGTAATAGTGCCACAGTACAATTGGTTGAAAAAGGTGGTTGTGGGATACGAAAACCCTCGAAGATATTCTGGACTTTTCTGTTTTTACTCAATCCTAAATAAGTGGTGGTAGGGCAGCCAGTCCGTCAGGTGTTTCCTTGTCAAGCCTAAGGCCTGGGATCAATTCCCCACATGGGTACTATGTGTGAAGACCCCTGCTGTAATATTGATGCATATAACGTGACCTAAAACTATATAGTCACTCACTCACAATTACAACAACCTGTGTCATTCTGCTTGGCGATATGGATACAGCATTAATAATTAAACAGAACTACACTTAATTTGTTTTTTAATTTGTCAGCATCTGCTAACCAGGCAAGTTTACTTGGCCATCAAGCATATGACCTCACACACTGCATCATGGCATCATGGCATCAAAAACTGCATCATGGCATCAAAAACTGCATCATGACATCACACACTGCATCATGACCTCACACACTGCATCGTGACATCACACAATGCATCATGACCTCACACACTGCATCATGACATCACACACTGAATCATGACATCACACACTGCATCATGACATCAAAAAACTGCATCATGACATCAAAAACTGCATCATGACATCACACACACACTGCATCATGGCATCACACACTGCATCATGGCATCAAAAACTGCATCATGACATCACACACTGCATCATGACATCACACACTGCATCATGACATCCCACACTGCATCATGGCATCAAAAACTGCATCATGACATCACACACTGCATCATGACATCACACACTGCAACATGACATCACACACTGCATCGTGACATCACACAATGCATCATGACATCACACACTGCATCATGACCTCACACACTGCAACATGACCTCACACACTGCATCATGACCTCACACACTGCATCATGACATCACACACTGAATCATAACATCACAAACTGCATCATGACATCAAAAACTGCATCATGACATCACACACTGCATCAAGGCATCACACACTGCATCATGGCATCAAAAACTGCATCATGACATCACACACTGCATCATGACATCACACACTGCATCATGGCATCAAAAACTGCATCATGACATCACACACTGCATCATGACATCACACACTGCATCGTGACATCACACAATGCATCATGACATCACACGCTGCATCATGACCTCACACACTGCATCATGACCTCACACACTGCATCATGGCATCAAAAACTGCATCATGGCATCAAAAACTGCATCATGACATCACACTGCATCATGACCTCACACACTGCATCATGACCTCACACACTGAATCATGACATCACATACTGAATCATGACATCACACATTGCATCATGACATCACACACTGCATCATGACATCACACTGCATCATGACATCACACAATGCATCATGACATCACACACTGCATCATGACATCACACTGCATCATGACATCACACAATGCATCATGACATCACACACTGCACCGTGACATCACACACTGCATCGTGACCTCTTCCACTGCATCATGACCTCACACACTGCATCATGACATCACACACTGCATCATGACATCACACACTGCATCATGACCTCACACATTGCATCATGACATCACACACTGCATCATGACCTCACATACAGCATCATGACATCACACACTGCATCATGACCTCATTGCATTCCACAGCATGTCTGTCCAGTCGTGAGAGAATAATATTGATCACTTTTATATCTTACACTGAGGCCAATGAGGTCTTTGCGAAGTGCTGTATGCACAAGGTGATCAATGATATATAAACTAAAAACAAAGCGATTTCAATCACACAGCATCACACAACTCTTTACACCTGAAGAATGTCCAAAGTCCTCAATATGTTTCAATAAAACTAAAATGGTGATGCAGTCCTTTCCTCGTTGCATTGCACTTAGCACCGACTAATACCACAAAGATTGACACAATGAAACACCAGTACGACACAACAGTACTCCGACACAACACAACAAATCAACAAAGAATGCTCCTCTCAACAGTTGGGATCTCCATGAAGACAACAAGACACCCAGTATTGTGTAGGACAGGGGGGTCTACATAGGTCATACACTGCACCATCAACCAGCCCAGTAGGTCAGAGGACAAGGTCTTTAGGACAAAGTCAGGAGCTCTAATGGGGTGGGGTGGGGTGGGGTGGGCGAGTGGTCAAAAGCACCAGGCTAGCAAGCACCAAGACTGAGATCCCGCTAGTAACCAGGTTGTTATTCAGCCTATGAACCAACAATGTTTACGTGTCTTTACAGCGTTGTGACTAACCCTGGTGTACAGTATATACCCTGTATACTCAAAAGAACCCACTCATCCGTGGGTAGATCACCAGAGAGTTGAAACATGAATACGTACATACACCCAAAATACAAGTGTCAAAGAATGGGGTGTCACCCTGGGCAAGTAACTTAGTTCAATTCTTACCTTAACTTTATTCTTTTATAAATTTTACACCAAACGCTAAGTACCAGTGAAAAAGATCAGTGAAAACGTAAATAATTTCATCCATTGCGCCATACTTGACACTGCCAGATGTAACTAATTAGTGTGCCAAGTATTTGGCCATCCTGTCTTTGAAAAAGATGGTTTACGCACCACAGATAAGAGAACATGCATATCAGATACATATCAGATTGTGAGCAAGGTATCGTGATACGTATCGGATCGCACCGTTGCTTTATCGTCCAAGCCCTAGTTACTGTGTCTCTGTTTGGAATGGTCACTCTTTCAACCACTCTTTCAACCATTCTTTCAACCACTCTTCACCAGTTGAGCTAGTACCCCTGATTCTCCGATCCTGTAGTGACACAATGAGGTCAATCATTCACTACCTGACCCGATCACCTGACCAAATCTCTCCACAATGCTGATGCTAGTTCAGTGTTTATCACAACAAGACATGCAGCAGTTGTGAAATCAATTCCAATAAACATGCAAGCAGTCCGACAGTTGACTCAAACAACCGTACATCAAACAGGAAGTTGTGTCAAACATCAACAACAGCCACATATCTCACAACTCTGAGTACACGATGAGCAAAACATGGATGCATGAATCTCCATCATGGTGAGAGTTCCCAGCTAAAGAGATACATCCGGCAACCAATCTGCTGCTTACTACAGCATCTGTGTTGATGGTGCATCAAGATAAACACATCATCAGCTAATGCTCAGAGAAACGCGGTTAATCAACGTTTGTATTTCAACAAGAGTTTGCCACAAACATTATCCCCCGCCCCTGTTTCAGAATTTATGACATAATTAAATCTAAACAAACCCTAACCTTTTTTAACCGAGGTGGAACTTGTTATGGAAATTATAAAAAAACAAACGAACCCAACCCTCACAGAACCTAAGTCCATCTTGTTGCCATGGAAACGTAAAAAATAAAAATGTCTAAAATTGCTCAATAGCAAAAGGCACCAGTTCAGCATGTACCTGACAGACCTGCAAAGTTTGATGAAAAAATATTGAATGGTTTATGAGTTATGCTCCGGAAACGAACCCTACCCTCACAGAACCTAAGTCCATTTTGTTGCCTTGGAAACGTAAAAAATAAAAAATTCTAAAATTTCTCAATAGCAAAAGGCACCAGTTCAGCATGTACCAGACAGACCTGCAAAGTTTGATGAAAAAATATTGAACAGTTTATGAGTTATGCTCCGGTAACGAAACTTTGTTGGGCGGGGGATAATAAAAGAAGTGTTTCCATTGGGCAGATCTAAATTAAGGAGATTTTTATTCCAAAGCATCTCACTACCAAACAACCCGCCTCAAATCATTTCTCATCTTGATGAAGTAACCATAGTACTACCAAACATTAAGTACACAGAAGTCTTGAAGAGGTAATAAAACTTATAAAATACAAAATGTTCCTATTCAGAAACAAATATACTTCCTCTTAAATACCATTCAATGAACATTTGGACAAGATTACTATTGGCTGGTTGTTTAACAGCGCTCAGCAATATTCCAGCTATATGACGGCGGCCTGTACATAAGTCTGCACAAGACAATCCAGTGATTGATATCATGAGCATCGATCCACACAGTTGGGATCAATGACATGCATCAACCAGCGAGCCTGACCACCTGCTCACGTTAGTCACCTCTTACGACAAGCATAGTCGCCTTTTACTGCAAGACCTACAATTCAAAATGATGTTGAAAAATACAACCCAACAAAAAACTTGATTTTGTGTCGTTATAAACAAAGGATTGCATAAATTGTTCTCAACAATGAAGCAATGTGACATCATATCATTTGTACTGACTAACTTAATGGAAATAAGTGGCACTTGGTCTTAACGTAATAACATGACCGCCACATGAAACCCAGTAACTGTAAGTGAGACACACAGACCCATCCTGTAACCACACATTGTACCCATGTCGGAAATCAAACCCAGGTCTTTGGCGCGACCACCCAGCAATAGAATCAGAGAGCTCCTCTACAGTCAACAGACAACATTTGATGTATCGCATCACAGCCTTTCTACTGAGATACTACATCATGCGTTTCACAACAACATAAAAATCTGGGTCAACACTGTGGCCTTGACCCAAGCAGTGAATGAGGAAGCCAACAAGGGCATGACGACAAGGGCATGAAGACAACTTCATGACACCAATTGAGGACCTGATGACACCATGCACTATAGAGACTCCAACACACAACGGCACGTGAATGTATCCTAGCTCAGGCCCTTGGTCTAGTGTGCTTTGATGCTGTGCTGCATACTGACTTTTAAATCCACACATGGCAAATCACTTCCCCTTATTATCCCCCTACTCCTTTCATCATTCATACTTCTGTAGTAGCTCCCCCTCCCTCAACACAACACTACCTCTGTCCATGTTCCCCCCCCCCTCAAAATAACACTATCTTTGTCCTAGCTCCCCCTCCCTCAACACAACCCTACCTCTGTCCTGGCTCCCCCTCCCTCAACACAACCTCTGTCCTAGCTCCCCCTCCCTCAACACTACCTCTGTCCTAGCTCCCCTCCCTCAACACAACACTACCTCTGTCCTAGCTCCCCCTTCCTCAACACAACCTCTGTCCTAGCTCCCCTCCCTCAACACTACCTCTGTCCTAGCTCCCCTCCCTCAACACCACCTCTGTCCTAGCTCCCCCTTCCTCAACACAACCTCTGTCCTAGCTCCCCCTCCCTCAACACAACACTACCTCTGTCCTAGCTCCCCCTCCCTCAACACAACACTACCTCTTTCCTAGCTCCCACTCCCTCAACACAACCCTACCTCTGTCCTAGCTCCCCCTCCCTCAACACAACACTACCTCTGTCCTAGCTCCACCTCCCTCAACACAACACAACCTCTGTCCTAGCTCCCCTCCCTCAATTCAACCCTACCTCTGTCCTAGCTCCCCCTCCCTCAACATAACACAACCTCTGTCCTGGCTCCCCCTCCCTCAACACAACACTACCTGTCCTAGCTCCCCCTCCCTCAACACAACACTACCTCTGTCCTAGCTCCCCCTCCCTCAACAAAACACTACCTCTGTCCTAGCTCCCCTCCCTCAACACAACACTACCTCTGTCCTAGCTCCCCTTCCCTCAACTCAACACTACCTCTGTCCTAGCTCCCCTCCCTCAACACAACACTACCTCTGTAGTAGCTCCCCCTCCCTCAACACAACCTCTGTCCTAGCTCCCCCTCCCTCAACACAACACAACCTCTGTCCTAGCTCCCCCTCCCTCAACACAACCTCTGTCCTAGCTCCCCCTCCCTCAACACAACACAACCTCTGTCCTAGCTCCCTCTCCCTCAACACAACACAACCTCTGTCCTAGCTCCCCCTCCCTCAACACAACACTACCTCTGTCCTAGCTCCCCCTCCCTCAACACAACACTACCTCTGTCCTAGCTCCCTCTCCCTCAACACAACCCTACCTCTGTCCTAGCTCCCCCTCCCTCAACACAACACTACCTCTGTCCTAGCTCCCCCTCCCTCAACACAACCTCTGTCCTAGCTCCCCCTCCCTCAACACAACACTACCTCTGTCCTAGCTCCCCCTCCCTCAACACAACCTCTGTCCTAGCTCCCCCTCCCTCAACACAACACTACCTCTGTCCTAGCTCCCCCTCCTTCAACACAACACTACCTCTGTCCTAGCTCCCCCTCCCTCAACACAACACAACCTCTGTAGTAGCTCCCCCTCCCTCCATACAACACTACCTCTGTCCTAGCTCCCCCTCCCTCAACACAACACTACCTCTGTCCTAGCTCCCCCTCCCTCAACACAACCCTACCTCTGTCCTAGCTCCCCCTCCCTCAACACAACCTCTGTCCTAGCTCCCCCTCCCTCAACACAACCCTACCTCTGTCCTAGCTCCCCCTCCCACAACACTACCTCTGTCCTAGCTCCCCCTCCCTCAACACAACACTACCTCTGTCCTAGCTCCCCCTCCCTCAACACAACCTCTGTCCTAGCTCCCCCTCCCTCAACACAACACAACCTCTGTAGTAGCTCCCCCTCCCTCAATACAACACTACCTCTGTCCTAGCTCCCCCTCCCTCAACACAACCCTACCTCTGTCCTATCTCCCCCTCCCTCAACACAACCTCTGTCCTAGCTCCCCCTCCCTCAACACAACCCTACCTCTGTCCTAGCTCCCCCTCCCTCAACACTACCTCTGTCCTAGCTCCCCCTCCCTCAACACAACACTACCTCTGTCCTAGCTCCCCCTCCCTCAACACAACCTCTGTCCTAGCTCCCCCTCCCTCAACACAACACTACCTCTGTCCTAGCTCCTCCTCCCTCAACACAACATTACCTCTGTCCTAGCTCCCCCTCCCTCAACACAACACTACCTCTGTCCTAGCTCCCCCTCCCTCAACACAACACTACCTGTCCTAGCTCCCCCTCCCTCAACACAACATTACCTCTGTCCTAGTTCAACGCTGTCCACAGATATGATGGCATCATCCAGGACAGGAAGTAGTCTTTTCCTTGTTGTTGAAGTCGGCTCATAGTCTCGGTAGGCAATAGGTCGGGACAAGTTTGGGTTCAAGCCTCGTTCCATCCTTGACGGACCTGGCGTGTTGGCACTTGGTGGCGCATTGTGCAGACCTGAACATAAGGGCAACAGTTATAACATTTTATGTTTTTTTATAAAACAGTGTTTGGGACTTTTCATACCATACTGTGTCACAAGTCAAGGTTTAAGTGTATAACTTTGACACCGAGAGTGCTGTAACTGTCACAAGTCAAGGTTCAAGTGTATAACTCAGACACCGAGAGTGCTGTGACTGTCACAAGTCAAGGTTTAAGTGTATAACTTAGACACCGAGAGTGCTGTGACTGTCACAAGTCAGGTTTAAGTGTATAACTCAGATACCGAGAGTGCTGTGACTGTCACAAGTCAAGGTTTAAGTGTATAACTCAGATACCGAGAGTGCTGTGACTGTCACAAGTCAGGTTTAAGTGTATAACTCAGACCCCGAGAGTGCTGTGACTGTCACAAGTCAAGGTTTAAGTGTATAACTTAGACACCGAGAGTACTGTGACTGTCACAAGTCAAGGTTTAAGTGTATAACTTAGACACTGAGAGTACTGTGACTGTCACAAGTCAGGTTTAAGTGTATAACTTAGACACAGAGTGTTGTGACTGTCACAAGTCAGGTTTAAGTGTATAACTCAGACACGGAGAGTGCTGTGACTGTCACAAGTCAGGTTTAAGTGTATAACTTAGACACTGAGAGTGCTGTGACTGTCACAAGTCAGGTTTAAGTGTATAACTTAGACACTGAGAGTGCTGTGACTGTCACAAGTCAAGGTTTAAGTGTATAACTTAGACACTGAGAGTGCTGTGACTGTCACAAGTCAAGGTTTGAGTGTATAACTGAGACCCCGAGAGTGCTGTGACTGTCACAAGTCAAGGTTTAAGTGTATAATTCAGACACTGAGAGGGTTGTGACTGTCACAAATCAAGGTTTAAGTGTATAACTTAGACACAGAGTGTTGTGACTGTCACAAGTCAGGTTTAAGTGTATAACTCAGACACCGAGAGTGTTGTGACTGTCACAAGTCAGGTTTAAGTGTATAACTCAGACACTGAGAGTGCTGTGACTGTCATAAGTCAAGGTTTAAGTGTATAACTCAGACCCCGAGAGTGCTGTGACTGTCATAAGTCAGGTTTAAGTGTATAACTTAGACCCCGAGAGTGCTGTGACTGTCACAAATCAGGTTTGTCAAGGTTTAAGTGTATAACTTAGACCCCGAGAGTGCTGTGACTGTCACAAATCAGGTTTGTCAAGGTTTAAGTGTATAACTTAGACCCCGAGAGTGCTATGACTGTCACAAATCAGGTTTGTCAAGGTTTAAGTATATAACCTAGACCCCGAGAGTGCTGTGACTGTCACAAGTCAAGGTTTAAGTGTATAACTTAGACCCCGAGAGTGCTGTGACTGTCATAAGTCAGGTTTAAGTGTATAACTTAGACCCCGAGAGTGCTGTGACTGTCATAAGTCAGGTTTAAGTGTATAACTTAGACCCCGAGAGTGCTGTGACTGTCATAAGTCAGGTTTAAGTGTATAACTTAGACCCCGAGAGTGCTGTGACTGTCATAAGTCAGGTTTAAGTGTATAACTTAGACCCCGAGAGTGCTGTGACTGTCATAAGTCAGGTTTAAGTGTATAACTTAGACCCCGAGGGTGCTGTGACTGTCATAAGTCAGGTTTAAGTGTATAACTTAGACCCCCAGAGTGCTGTGACTGTCATAAGTCAAGGTTTAAGTGTATAACTCAGACACTGAGAGTGCTATGACTGTCACAAATCAGGTTTGTCAAGGTTTAAGTGTATAACTTAGACCCCCCAGAGTGCTGTGACTGTCACAAACCAGGTGGGGACCTATTCTGCCTGGAATCACAACAGGTAGACAAGCATGGGGTACTGGGGACCTATTCTGCCTGGAATCCCCACAGGGAGACAAGCATGGGGTACTGGGGACCTATTCTGTCCGAATCCCCAGATGAAGACAACAATGGGGTACCTATTCTGCTCCAAATCACAACCGAAAGACGAGCATGGGGTACTGGGGACCTATTCTGCCTCAAATTCCAACAGGGAGACAAGCATGGGGTACTGGGGACCTATTCTGCCTCAAATTCCCACAGGGAGACAAGCATGGTGTATTGGGGACTTATTCTGCCTCAAATTCCCACAGGGAGACAAGCATGGGGTACTGGGGACCTATTCTGTCCGAATCCCCAGATGAAGACAACAATGGGGTACCTATTCTGCTCCAAATCACAACCGAAAGACGAGCATGGGGTACTGGGGACCTATTCTGCCTCAAATTCCCACAGGGAGACAAGCATGGGGTACTGGGGACCTATTCTGCCTCAAATTCCCACAGGGAGACAAGCATGGTGTATTGGGGACCTATTCTGCTCCAAATCCCCACAGGGAGACAATCATAGGGAACTGGGGACCTATTCGACCTTGAATCACAATATGATGAAAGAAACAACATAGTTATGACCTGTATCTGATAGGTTACTTTGACCCACACAAAGAACATTGTTTTGTGTAGACAAGAAGCCAGACATGTCAACATCTCAATATGGTTCACCTTCATTCTGATGTCCTGTGGATATACCGTGGACAGTCCACCAAGGCCATGAGACAACTGATCTCTTGCAGCCAGGCCTTTGAAATCCAGATTGTTTTTGCCTGTTATTGCTGCCACAAAACACCAAGCTCATTAAGTCTGTGAGACAAGGAAGAGATACTTGAAGGCGCATGGCCTCTGCAAACAGACATGCCGGATTTCAGGAGATACCTGAAACCCCCTCCAGCATCATCAGGGTACTGTGCAACTAACATCCCCCAGTTTACTGCTCAATAACAGCTTTTAAGGGATCATGCAGATTCCTGTCTATGCTCTGCCTCAGGTGTTATAACTTGAGGTAAATAGTAGTCAACGTTGTCATGGTTACAACATTTTCACGTCCATCATATTTGCCTGTTCGATGTACTTCACAGGCGTCACTCAGTATTAGTCAGGTCCAGGGTGACATCACTCAGTATCAGTCAGGTCCAGAGTGACATCACACAGCGTCAGTCAGGTCCAGGGTGACATCACTCAGTATTAGTCAGGTCCAGGGACATCACTTAGTATCAGTCAGGTCCAGGGTGACATCCCTCAGTATCAGTGAGGTCCAGGGTGACATCATTCAGTATCAGTCAGGTCCATGGACATCACTCAGTATAAGTCAGGTCCAGGGTGACATCACTCAGTATCAGTCAGGTCCAGGGTGACATCATTCAGTATCAGTCAGGTCCAGGGACATAACTCTGTATCAGTCTGGTCCAGGGACATCACACAGTGTCAGTCCATTATCCAGTGTAAAATCTCTGTTATGATAAATAACACATTACTTGCCTCAACTTTGTATTAAGTTCACTTTGTGTGAGACCCGTGAAGATCCCGGGTAGAATAGTTCTTCAGCAACCCATTCTTGTCGTAAAAGGCAACTATGCTTGTCGTAAGAGGTGACTTACGGGATCGGGTCATATAGCTGGAATACTGCAGAGTGCGGCGTAAAACAACAAACAATACTTTGTGTGAGCGAAATATATTGGGATATTACTGACAAAAGATGGATGCCAAGCACAGGTACACATCTTTGAAGAATGTGCATTATGGGAATTGGCAAATCACTCTCAGTCATTGTGTTGAAAATCTCTCCCCAATGACCAATGCAAACATTCAAATGCATACATCTACATTATGCTTCAAAGAGGGAAGGGGGGGGGGGGGGATGTTAGTCCCACACAAGGAATCCACGCTGCAGGGATCAGGGTTTAAAAGAGGGATCAGGGTTTAAAAGAGGTATCAGGGTTTAAATGAGGGATCAGGGTTTAAATGAGGGATCAGGGTTTAAAAGAGGGATCAGGGTTTAAAAGAGGGATCAGGGTTTAAAAGAGGGATCAGGGTTTAAAAGAGGGATCAGGGTTTACTTTAAGATTCGTATAAATATAGTCATATAGCTCTATGACTGTCGTAAGTCTATGTTAAGGTATGAGAGTTATGACCCCTTAGCCCTAAGAACGTTTTGTACAACGACACCCTGGTCTACATTAAGAGTCATGGTTTACATTAGGCACCATCAATCTATCCCTTGTTGAAAGAGGTTGGATTGAGTTGTCAAGCTCAGTGACAACATTGATTGCCTGTCGTAGTATACTGCCAGTGTGGGACATTCTTCATACCACTGAACATTGGTTTGCCTGGTCCAGACTCGGTTCCTTGCAGGCCGACTTGATACACAGCTGGAATAATGCTGACTTCAGCAAGACAACTAATTCTCCAGACATTGCCTGACAGTGCATGGAGCTGGTCATACAGTTGGTTTGTTGGTTGGCTGGTTGTTTGGTTGGTTGGTTGTTTAACGCCGCACTCAGCAATATTCCAGCTATATGACGGCATGCTGTAAATAATCGAGTCTGGACCAGACAGTCCAGTGATTAATATCATGAGCATTGATCCACGCAATCGGGATCGATGACATGCATCAACCAAGTCAGCGAGCCTGACCACCCGATCCCGTTAGTCGCCTTTTACGACAAGTATAGTCGCCTTTTATGGCAAGCATGGGTTGCTGAAGACCAATTCTACCCCGGAATCTTCACGGGTCTGGTCGTACAGACAAATCCTACCTGGCAACTTGTAGTAGATCTGCAGATGGGTGCGCTTGATGTAGCACAGACCCCCGATGGCAGCAGCAACAAACAGCAACGTCAGGACCGTCCCCACCAGGATCAGCAACATCCCACCATCAGCACCTTTCTTGCCCTTGGACTCTGGAATATAGCAGCAACACTTTAACAACAGCAACATCTGGACCCCATTCAACAAAGTGATCTTAGCGCTACGATGATCATAAGTCAGTGTTAAAGAATGGGAGTTACGATCGACTTAGCGCTAAGATCACTTTGTGGAACGGGGCTCTGGACCCCATTCAACAAAGTGATCTTAGTGCTACGATGATCGTAAGCCTATTTTAAAGTATGGGAGTTACGATCACCTTAGCACTAAGTTCGCTTTGTGGAACGGGGCCCAGGATATTAGAGTAACAGAGCAATCTTAACTCTACGTTAATGTTAGTGTGTGGGAGTTCCAAGCACTTAATTGCTTTGGTGAAAGGGATCTTCGGCTAATGGAACAAAATTGTGACCTTAGCAGCACAATAATCTTTGGATGTAACACTGTAACCTTAGTGAACAACCAGGACCCACTTGCACAAAGCGATCTTAGCACTAAGATGATCGTAACTCCCATACTTTAACATAGGCTTACAATAGTCTTATCGCTAAGATCGCTTTGTGCAAGTGGGCCCAGGTCTTCGGCGTGACAAGGGAACACTTGAACCACTAAACTTCCTCACCGCCCCCTCTAACCTTAGTCTAGTTTGTTTGTTGCTTAACGCTGCACTAAGCAATATTCCAGCTAAATGATGGCGGTCTGTAAATAATCGAATCTGGACCAGACATTCCACGGATTGACATCATGATCATCGATCTAGGCAAGTTGGATACGATGACATACATCAACCAAGTCAGCAAGCCTGACCACCCAATCCCGTTCATCACCTCTTGCGACAAGCAAAGTCGCCTCTTCCGGCAAGTATTTGTTGCTGAAGACCTATCTTACCCCGGATCTTCATGGGTCTGTAACCTTAGTGAACAACACTGTAACCTTTGTAAGCAGCATTGTGGAAAATGGCAGCAACATTGTAACCATAGCAACATTGATGTATATAGAAGCAACATGGTATACAAAGTCAGCAACTTTCAAGCATCACCACTTCCATTTCATCACACCACAGTGGGCGAGTGAGGGTTTCGCATCCCACTATATCCTGCTGTGTGACACAGTGGGATTCCTCATTACCTCAGAGAAGGTCGTACCCAGTAAATGAGGCAAGTTTATTCCAAGAACTCTCATTGTACTGAAGCCTTTCCACTGACAAAATTGTACCTCCTACAATAGAAGTCAATCTGGCTTGCTTCAAACGTTTCCTTAAAATATTACTTCTTGTCGTAAGCTTTCGTATTTTTCTTTATGGAGTTTTGGTGAAATTTTCTGGGAAAAAGTTAATATGAAAATAAGACCCAAATAAATAGTTCCAAGATTGTTCCTCTTCTTCAAACAGATGTCAAGAATGATCAGAATGTTACCATGGTTACCATTAATAATGCGAGTCTCTTCTGACTTTTTTGTAGATGAACACTTAAGTTTTTCAATTTGCAAAGATTTGTTTTTTTCAATTATATAATTTTTAGGGTCACCCAATCTATCACCTTGAGCTTTTTAATTACTTTTTATTTTTTTTCAACGTGCCTACTTCCAAATATAAACAATAAGTTAAATCTATGTGTTAAAGAATTCAATGTCAAACCAACAAACAAATGGAATACAATTAACAATTATATCATAAAATTAACTAGGTTTACAAATCAATACAAAAGTAACTGTAAAGTGATTACAATGGCAGTATTAAATACAACAGCAGTGGTAATAGCAAAAAGATAGTGTTAATAATATTCACCTAGCAACAACAGTGGTCAAGCTTCCAAAAAAGGGCCTAGGTTGGATAGCCAGGGTGAAAACCCTGATCTTCACACAACCGCTGGTCTTGATGTAATGTGAGATGAGAGAGACATGCCCTTGCAGCTTACATAGTCTATATACCTTCTTCAATGCCGGATTAGTTCTAGAAAATTCCACATTACACTTGTCTCGAAAAGCCAAGCTCCTCACAGCGATAGCCCGTTCGCGGAGCTCTCTATACTATCGCTGCCACCAACCAAAACTCCCCACTAGGATAGGTGGTCACAACCATGCTCGGAGTCAGAGACCACAGGTATATGGCCTCTGTTGGAGTTGAACTCGCAACCGACGGACCGTTATGCTTACAAACAAGCAATGACTGTCGTGACGCCGAATACTCTTACTCTAACTAAATTATCGTCTTTATTTGTCAATTTGAATTTCTATTTCATTTTAACAATCATGGAATTGGCATAGTGAGTATGTAAGGGGGGATTTGAGCGATTTTCTGTTCGTCTGCAATCTTGAACCAATCTGATCAAACAAACAAAAAGTTAAATTCATCTGGGAAATATGGTCAGTCGTAAACCTTTTCAAAAATAACTGTATTGGCATTCCCAAAGACATTAACAAAAGTATAAACGTTACTACATTTGGGGTTAGAGGGCAAATTTTAAGATTCTTGTAATGGCCACGCCCACATTGGTAGCAGCGATGTTACCGAGGGTGTAACGAAGGTGTCACGCGCTCGGAAGGAGCTTGTCGAAAAGCATCTACATATAGTAACTTCCACACAACAGCTTACATTAGATAGCACTACATTCCTGACAACTAACCATTGTCAACACACAATGCTATGCGCTTCTACTGATTCTCAACAGAATCAATGTTATACAATTACAACATTATTTAATAATAAATGTTACTGTCATATAACAAATTGCAGGTCATACATGGGCTATTATTCACCTTGGTGACATTCTTATAGGGGTGGAGTTTTGGCTCAATAGAAACGGTTTCACACTACCTTCAACCAGCTAAGTTGGATTATTTGCAAGATAAAATACACAACTTTACAAAACTTCAACCTTAAAAATATATTATTATAAGAAAACAATGTCAAAAAGTGATATATTTGGAATCAAATTTGTGACCCTACAACAAATATGACTTTTAACGAGTCAAAGTATGACATTTATGATATATGTATCCATTCTCTGTCAACTAATATTCGTTTCAAGGCGTCAGTAGCGGTAATCTGACCATGGTTGCTCTTAATAACGGTGAGTTATGCGACCTTCCGATCGCTTCACTCACGATTTCACCAAAATGAATTAAAACAATATTGAAAGGAATTTTTAAGAGAATTAATGAAACAAGTTACAAACATAAGTCAGATGTACACTGAACGCTTTTATAAACAGACAGAGTAATTCCATGATTAATTTGCATACCTCAGTACAGATTTGTTGACATGGTATTTCCAGTGTTACATGTCTTTGCATTGGGGCAAAAAACATCGAAAATCATTAGGGCGTGTATAATGTGCAACCCTTCTACACAGCTGTTTTTTTTTTTAAAAAGTATGCACTATACTCAAGAAAATATGGTAAGCCTGAAAACAATTGACTACTGATTGATGTCTGACTATTGGCCCCAGATTTGACTGACTACTGACAACTGACTTGTAACACTCTCCCATCAGCACCCTTACTGACTACTGTGTGTGTGTGTCCCTACACTGTGTGTCTGACATCATACACTGGCTTCGACACTGACATCAACACTGACATCGACACTGACATCAACACTGACTGACATCAACACTGACTGACATCAACACTGACTGACATCAACACTGACATCGACACTGACACATCAACTGACATCGACACTGACATCGACACTGACATCAACACTGACATCAACACTGACACATCGACACTGACACATCAACTGACATCAACACTGACATCAACACTGACACATCAACTGACATCAACACTGACACCGACACTGACACATCAACTGACATCAACACTGACATCAACACTGACACATCAACTGACATCAACACTGACATCAACACTGACACATCAACTGACATCAACACTGACATCAACACTGACACATCAACTGACATCAACACTGACATCAACACTGACATCAACACTGACATCAACAGTGACATCAACACTGACATCGACACTGACATCGACACTGACTGACATAGGCAGGTGGCATCAACACTGATTGACATCAACACTGACATCAACACTGACACATCAACTGACATCAACACTGACATCGACACTGACACATCAACTGACATCAACACTGACATCAACACTGACTGACATCAACACTGACATCAACACTGACATCAACACTGACATCAACACTGACATCGACACTGACATCAACACTGACATCAACACTGACATCGACACTGACACATCAACACTGACATCAACACTGACATCGACACTGACACATCAACACTGACATCAACACTGACATCAACACTGACATCGACACTGACTGACATCAACACTGACATCGACACTGACTGACATCAACACTGACATCGACACTGACATCGACACTGACTGACATCAACACTGACATCAACACTGACATCAACACTGACATCAACACTGACATCGACACTGACACATCAACACTGACATCAACACTGACATCGACACTGACACATCAACACTGACATCAACACTGACATCAACACTGACATCAACACTGACATCAACACTGACATCAACACTGACATCGACACTGACACATCAACACTGACATCAACACTGACATCGACACTGACACATCAACACTGACATCAACACTGACATCAACACTGACATCAACACTGACATCAACACTGACATCGACACTGACACATCAACACTGACATCAACACTGACATCGACACTGACACATCAACACTGACATCAACACTGACATCAACACTGACATCGACACTGACTGACATCAACACTGACATCAACACTGACATCAACACTGACATCAACACTGACATCGACACTGACACATCAACACTGACATCAACACTGACATCGACACTGACACATCAACACTGACATCAACACTGACATCAACACTGACATCGACACTGACTGACATCAACACTGACATCGACACTGACTGACATCAACACTGACATCGACACTGACTGACATCAACACTGACTGACATCAACACTGACATCAACACTGACATCGACACTGACACATCAACACTGACATCAACACTGACATCGACACTGACACATCAACACTGACATCAACACTGACATCAACACTGACATCAACACTGACATCAACACTGACACATCAACTGACATCGACACTGACATCAACACTGACATCAACACTGACATCAACACTGACACATCAACTGACATCGACACTGACATCAACACTGACATCAACACTGACATCAACACTGACACATCAACTGACATCAACAATGACATCGACACTGACACATCAACTGACATCAACACTGACATCAACACTGACATCAACACTGACACATCAACTGACATCAACACTGACATCAACACTGACATCGACACTGACATCAACACTGACATCATCACTGACATCAACACTGACACATCAACTGACATCAACACTGACATCAACACTGACACATCAACTGACATCGACACTGACATCAACACTGACATCAACACTGACATCAACACTGACACATCAACTGACATCAACAATGACATCGACACTGACACATCAACTGACATCAACACTGACATCAACACTGACACATCAACTGACATCAACACTGACATCGACACTGACACATCAACTGACATCAACACTGACATCAACACTGACACATCAACTGACATCATCACTGACATCAACACTGACACATCAACTGACATCAACACTGACATCAACACTGACATCGACACTGACATCGACACTGACATCGACACTGACATCAACACTGACATCAACACTGACATCGACACTGACATCGACACTGACATCGACACTGACATCGACACTGACATCAACAGTGACATCAACAGTGACATCAACAGTGACATCAACACTGACATCGACACTGACTGACATAGGCAGACATAGGCAGGTGGCATCAACACTGATTGACATCAACACTGACATCGACACTGACATCGACACTGACATCGACACTCACATCGACACTCACATCGACAGACATAGGCACGTGACATCAACAAGGATTTCTTTCTACAGAGACACAATCAATGGTTTCACACATTGTACCCATCCCGTGAAGATTCCGGGTTAGAATTGGTCTTCAGCAGCCCATACTTGTCATAAGAGGCGACGAACAGGGATCGGGTGGTCAGACTCGCTGACTTGGTTGATGCATATCATCATATCACAATTGTGTAGATCGATGCTCATGATGTCACTTACTGGAGTTTCTGGTCCAGACTCAATTATTTATAGACCGCCGTCATCTTACTCAGAATATTGCTGAGTATGGTGTTAAACAAACAAACAAACAAACAAACAAACAAACAAACCCTTCTGGGGAATCAAACCTAAGCTTTTTGATGGACACTTACACCGCTTGGATAACCCCTGGTGTTGTTAAGATTGTTCCATTATGTCTTTGTTGTCCCCCAAACTCTACCAATGTGTCACAAATGTCCTGGAAGCCATGAATGAGAACCAACGGCTTTTTCTTTCAACCCAATATGTTCAATAATTCACAGACACCTACCATCCAGCGACTTTCCCAAACAGCCATCAGGGCAGCAGCATTTGTGATGAAGCTCCGCTTCCTGCAACATTAATACAAGGAATGTATGTACCATTTCACCCTCAGTTCCCTTGGCAAGAAAATTGGCAAAAAAAGTGTTAAATTGTTCAAAATTGGGATTTTTTCTTATTTTCCGAGGACAATAACATTGCATTCAATACAATAATGTCAAGCTATGCCTGATCCTCTTAATTAGTCCTAAAATCACCTCCACAAAGCCATCACATTAGTTAGAACTATTTTTTCAAGAAGAGGAATGTTTACTGACAATTGTTGAAGACTTTGGGCCAAATATCAGCCTCTGAGCAATCTGGACAAACCCCTGAACACACAGATCAACATAGTGGAGGTGAAATGGGGTTTAACGTCGCATCCAAGATGATTCCACTTATATAGCGACGTGCATGCACGTGTGTGTGTGTGTGGCTGCTTGTACTAGACCGAACTGATGCCGATTTATAGTGCTAGCTCACTGAGATACCATGCCGCAGTTTAACATGAATACCCCACTCAGACACAGTATACTGACTCAGAGCCGACCAGTCCTTGTTTTAGACCCTTAATGCCAAGCGCCAGACAGGGTAACAATAAGTACCATCTTTTAACGTCTTTTGGTATGACGCGGCCGGGGATCGAACTCCGGACCTTCCGCTCTCCAGACGGACGCTCTACCACTAGACCACGGAGGCGGTCATTTCAACATAGAGTAAGCATGGGTATAATGCGATGTCCTATTTCCTCCAGTTCATACGCCAGACCGGGACACACAAAGAAGACTGTGTGGCCACTTAATCACCACCTACTCAGCTCTATGAAAACCAAAGAAGTACATGTTCCTGTTCCACAAAAGGATCTTAGCACTTGGAGACAGCAAACAATTTTCTTTCGTGAATAATTATTTTTGACCAGTTTTTTTTGAAGCCATCTATTTTTTCAAAATATTCCCCATGAAGAATATCAACTGGTCAGTCCTGAAGATGCTTTAACATCCGTACTCCATTCTCAAATACCTGCACTATCACTGGTGCTGCTTTAAGCAATAATTACTTGCTTACTAACCTTGAGCTTGACCTACAAGAAGAAAAGTGCTAAATGGCTTTCGGATAAGAACCCTGGATTGTTCCTGATCTATAGTTACCATGGTTACCATGGTGTGCAGAAAATGGTTGGTAAGAAAAAAATACTTACCACAGGCTCACCCCGGCCGATGTCCTTGACAATCCGAAACAGCCCGTCTTCAACCAACGTCCTCTCCTCATCACAGATGAGCCGGACAACGACTTCTCTACGCCTCATCGACCTGCAAGATAATTTGGAGGGTGACCCAAGTCTTGTGAGTTAGTGAGTATGTTGCAAAGCGATCTTAGCGCTAAGGTGACCGTTACTCCCATACCTTAACATAGACTTACGAAAGATAAGGCGCTAAGGTTGTTTTGTAGAACGGCACCAAGGACACCTAGTGGTTGATAGCATAAGCAGCAATTTGTGTTGTTTGGGTACAATGACATACATTCAGCTGGTCACACATTTAGATCATCCAAGTTTCATACTGTTGGTGGAAGTGTTGGTGGATTGTCTTGTCAGATGGTGCACTATTCTGAAGGGGTTGGTGGATGGTCTTGTCTGATGGTCAACTAATCTGAAGCTGTTGGTGAATGGTCTTGTCTGATGGTCAACTATTCTGAAGGAGTTGGTGGATGGTCTTGTCTGAGGGTACACAAATCTGAAGCTGTTGGTGGATGTTCTTGTCTGAGGGTACACTAATCTGAAGCTGTTCATGGATGGTCTTGTCTGATGGTGCACCATTCTGAAGCTGTTGGTGGATGGTCTTGTCTGAGGGTACACTATTCTGAAGGAGTTGGTGGATTGTCTTGTCTTGTCTGAGGGTACACTATTCTGAAGGAGTTGGTGGATGGTCTTGTCTGATGGTCAACTAATCTGAAGCTGTTGGTGGATTGTCTTGTCAGATGGTGTACTATTCTGAAGGAGTTGGTGGATTGTCTTGTCAGATGGTGCACCATTCTGAAGCTGTTGGTGGATTGTCTTGTCAGATGGTGTACTATTCTGAAGGAGTTGGTGGATTGTCTTGTCAGATGGTGCACCATTCTGAAGGAGTTGGTGGATTGTCTTGTCTGAGGGTACACTATTCTGAAGAAGTTGGTGGATTGTCTTGTCAGATGGTGCACCATTCTGAAGCTGTTGGTGGATTGTCTTGTCAGATGGTGTACTATTCTGAAGGAGTTGGTGGATTGTCTTGTCAGATGGTGTACTATTCTGAAGGAGTTGGTGGATTGTCTTGTCTGAGGGTACACTATTCTGAAGGAGTTGGTGATGGTCTTGTCTGAGGGTACACTATTCTGAAGGAGTTGGTGGATTGTCTTGTCTGAGGGAACACTATTCTGAAGGAGTTGGTGATGGTCTTGTCTGAGGGTACACTATTCTGAAGGAGTTGGTGATGGTCTTGTCTGAGGGTACACTATTCTGAAGGAGTTGGTGATGGTCTTGTCTGAGGGTACACTATTCTGAAGGAGTTGGTGATGGTCTTGTCTGAGGGTACACTATTCTGAAGGAGTTGGTGATGGTCTTGTCTGAGGGTACACTATTCTGAAGGAGTTGGTGATGGTCTTGTCTGAGGGTACACTATTCTGAAGGAGTTGGTGATGGTCTTGTCTGAGGGTACACTATTCTGAAGGAGTTGGTGATGGTCTTGTCTGAGGGTACACTAATCTGAAGCTGTTGATTAATTGTCTTGTCTGATGGTGCACTATTCTGAAGCTGTTGGTGGATGGTCTTGTCTGATGGTATGCTATTCTCAAGTTGATGTGCATCTATCTAGGACTAGGAAGTATGGGTTGGCTAGCTAGTGGTTTGAAGCTCATCAATCTGCAGTGCAGTTATGTCCCTTAGTCATACCAGTATCCAGATTTGCCCTAATCCAGAGCCTTGATTCACCAATGTCTTACATGTGCTCGTGGGTTTCAACAAAGTAAACATCTATGACCTATGACTTTAGGTTTTCCTCGTACATCAAGCCTACACAACATGACACACCATATTCGACGCTCTCAAAATCAGAAATAGGGGGCTCTTATTATAAGGGTAACGCTATTTTTCAGGGCATTCTCATTTGCAGAAGCCTGAGGTCTTCCATTAACTGCCCGACGAAGGAGGGCAGTTGAAAAGACCGAGATGACGACACTATTGAACGTGACGTCACCTATCCCTATCCTATGATGTCACCTAACAACAGACGTGATAATGGCCTGTCGTCAAGCAATATGAGGGCATTGTCAAGTTACAGTGGCCCGCTTATTTTTGACAACATGCAGGCGATTTCATGGTTTATGCTGACAGCCTGAAATGTTTATATACGACAGATATATTTTTCCAGAATTTAATTGCCCATAATTAAACGTGCATATAACACACGTATTATACATGAATAAATAATTCTTGTGTACATTGATCAATTGGAAGGGGTGCTGATTGGGATTGTTCACTAGCCAATATATTAGCAAATATCGCCATTGGCACTAATTAGAGCAGGGCGCTTATTACGTCGAATACGGTAACTCAAATTCTGTTTAAAATAGCATTAAACTCAACCACACAACGTGTCCTACAGAAGAAACTACTTACTCTACTCCTTTGAATCGGAGTTCCATATGGAGTGAGTCCTGGCGGTCACGTCCTGCCTTGAAGTAAGCCTTGTCCTGCACACCCAACGCATAGTAGAAGCCAGGCTCTTGGCTGTCACTGTACTGGCAGATCTGTAACACACGAGAGCCGGACACAGTTTAGCATAGTGGTGGGACAATACACTGATGCATATGTAGCAGGGCGCGGAGTCGTCCCACAGATGACATCCTTACCTTGTCAGCTTGCTGACGGGGTTAACCTCTTTGGTCATGTGGACAAGGCGTCCGACCTCGGATCAGAAGGTCCGTGGTTCGAATCCCATCACGGGACTCGGAAATTTTATGGCCGCTACATTGGTGCCCAACGTGGGGCTGAGCACGTTCATATTAAATTTGAGCAAAATAAGCCTCAGTACCCTACTATGCGGCCCGGGACGTGCCTTCTGTTGACGGGGGAGTATGTAGCAGGGCGCGGAGTCGTCCCACAGATGACATCCTTACCTTGTCAGCTTGCTGACGGGGTTAACCTCTTTGGTCATGTGGACAAGGCGTCCGACCTCTGATCAGAAGGTCCGTGGTTCGAATCCCATCACGGGACTCGGAAATTTTATGGCCGCTACACATAGATGGCTCACGATTTTTAACTTCTTGATACAAGTATCGGTCACAGTTGCACACTAGGTAACAAATATTGATTCTGACCTTAAATGTTTGCTTTAATTACTGTTCCACTAATCACTAATCAGTCGTGCACGTTAATAGTGAAAACATAAATATTTTCATCCATTGTGCCATACTTGACACTGCCAACTGTAAATCATCAGTGTGCCAGGTATATTTGGCCATCCTGTCTACGAAAAAGATGGCTTACGCACCACAGATAAGAGCACATGCAGGTATCGTGATACATCAGTAATGGTAACTAAGCATAACTGAGGGTAATTAAGGGTCAGTGGACCACTAAGAGGGAGTGAGTGAGTGAGTTGGGTTTAACGCCGCTTTTAACAGTATTCCAGTTATATCACGGCGTGTCAGCTTAATGTGGGAGGAAAGCCCCAAGTGATGCAGGTCTCAGACGTTTACCACTTCGGTGAAACCCACGAGCATATCCCACCACAGATAAGAGCACATGCAGGTATCGTGATACATCAGTAATGGTAACTAAGTATAACTGAGGGTAATTAAGGGTCAGTGGCCCTCTAAGAGAATAGTGGTCCTAAGAGCTACTAATTAGTCACTAATGATTGCTAAGTGACAACCAAATGGGCTACTAAGGAGATAGTAAATACTACTAAGCTGACACAAGTGGTTAATAAGCAGACATAAAGGGCTATTAAGCTGACACAGGTGTACATTGGATCCGAATACTGTGAAAAAACTTAGTGACGCTACATCTAGGGTCATAGGCCTCGTAGTTTCAGAGCAGATGTAAAAAATGCAGGTATGTGAAAGTCAAAGTACAAAACCGGATCACAATGCTTGATGCCATTTTTTTTCATGTTCATAATCATGATAATGATACATGTAGACATGGCTGAATCAAGGCCAACAAGGACATATTCAAAACGGCCAGTCTGATAACAATAAAATCAGATCACAATTCTGTGAGCACTCTTAAAGGGGAAGTGTACACGCAAAAATCACTTTCTTTCTTTTTCTAAACAAAACGCAATTTTAGAATTAATTAGTATCTGTGTTTGAAAATATACACTCATTTTTTTCACTGTGAACGTAGGAAGCTCACAATAGTGTGAAAATGATATGCCGTTATGAGGCCTTCGTTTTTCGAGCTAAACAGGCCTGAGTTATCCCCCTTAGATTATGACGTAATTGGTGCCAATTCAACTGGGTCCCTGTCTATTCTCAACGCAAAAGATATCAAGTACCAGTTTGCGGTAAAACAACATGGCCTAAGACACACTCCGGCGCAGTGGTGACTCAGCATAACACTATGCTGGCTGGCATCTGAGACGCTAGAATCACACACCTGGACCTACACCACGTGAAGCGGCTCTAACAAAGCATGATGACGTCATAATGTTTATCAATTGGCACCAATGACATCATATTGCAAGGGGCATAAGCCATGGTGTTTTTATTGTGGAAATAGAACACTTGCTAAATGTGAAAAATATAAATCGTTTTAATGCGAAAAATATGTTAATTAATTGTGATATTTTTATATTTTTGTCTATGACACTTCTATGTTAACACTTTTAATGTGGAAAAAGTACAAGAAAAATAGGTTCATTTCCGTGTGAACTTGCCCTTTAAGGGACCATAGCTGGGATTTTTCATCCAAAGGCTTCAGCTCTATAGGCCTTGTACAGAGTAGCTCACTTGACTTTCAGTCCAAGGGAAATCAGGTGGTGGGTTATCATGGCCCTAGTGAGATACAACTTATAGGCCAACAACGCATCACCTGTCATCAGGTAATCAGACACTCAGACGGCAAGTGCCCTCCTTGTCAGTCAGGGACAAGGTGAGAGGACATTTTTTTTTTTTAAATTCATCATCAACTGCGAAGAGTGAGTGAGTGAGTCGGGTTTAACGCCGCTTTTAACAGTATTCCAGTTATATCGCGGCATGTCAGCTTAATGTGGGAGGAAAGCCCAAAGTGATGCAGGTCTGAGACGTTTACCACTTCGGTGAAACCCATGAGCACGGGTATGGTGCTGACAAACCTAGAAACATAATCGGGGCGAACCGGGATTCGAACCCACAATCATAGGTTTCTGGAGTGGCTAAGGGACACAACTCTGCACAGCGATTCGCGGCGCCTTAGACGACTGGGCCAACCGTGTCCCCTTCAACTGCGAAGATATTAAGGCCTTCACCAATTGGACTTAACAGTTAGGGGGGCCTCTTGCCCACGCGGCAATTCAATTCCCATAACTCTGTGTAGAAATTCAGTTTGGCCTGTTTTTACATTTTTTCCCTTTTTGTTATCAAAAAAGTATTAACTTGCATGAAGAAAGACACAAATAGTAACATACATTCATTATGTTTGTATTAATGTACTTTTGAAAAACATTTAACAGTAATCTTGACTTAGAAAAGGAAAATGTTAAAAAATATGATGCAAAACAGTAGGGTAATTTCAATTGGTAATGAAAATTAATGCTTAATGAAAATTTTCCCCCTGAAATCCAACACGAAGGAATCAACTCTGGCACCGATACAAACAAGCTAAGGGTAAAGGCCTAGCTTTAATAGAGATATGCTTTTTATGTAGGGAATGCGAATCTACCCCAAAACACACCAAGGTGACGAAGAGAAGAGTGTGAAGGAGTGTGCTGACAATGATTTCACCTCTCTCTCAGGCACCCAGAAGCCTGACCCCATCCAGCCTTAACAGACAGCCAAAGAAGCCTGACCCTGACCCCCACCAGCCCCAGCAGACAGCCACAGAAGCCTGACCCCCACCACCCCTAACAGACAGCCACAGAAGCCTGACCCCATTCAGCCTTAACAGACAGCCACAGAAGTCTGACCCTGACCCCCACCAGCCCCAGCAGACAGCCACAGAAGCCTGACCCCCACCACCCCTAACAGACAGCTACAGAAGCCTGACCCCATTCAGCCTTAACAGACAGCCACAGAAGCCTGACCCTGACCCCCACCAGCCCCAGCAGACAGCCACAGAAGCCTGACCCCTACCAGCCCTAACAGACAGCCACAGTAGCCTGACCCCCACTAGCCCCAGCAAACAGCCACAGAAGCCTGACACCTACCAGCCCTAACAAACAGCCACAGTTGCCTGACCCCCACCAGCCCTAACAAACAGCCACAGTTGCCTGACCCCCACCAGCCCTAACAAACAGCCACAGTCCACAGTTGCCTGACCCCCACCAGCCCTAACAAACAGCCACAGAAGCCTGACCCCCACCAGCCCTAGCAGACAAACCACAGAAGCCTGACCCCCCCCCCCCCCCCCCCCAGCCCTAACAGACAGCCACAGAAGCCTGACCCCCACCAGCCCTAGCAGACAGCCACAGAAACCTAACCCCTACCAGCCCTAACAGACAGCCACAGAAGCCTGATCCCCACCAGCCATAGCAGACAGCCACAGAAGCCTGACACCTACCAGCCCTAACAGACAGCCACAGTAGCCTGACCCCCACCAGCCCCAGCCGACAGCCACAGAAGCCTGACACCTACCAGCCCTAACAAACAGCCACAGTAGCCTGACCCCCACCAGCCCTAACAAACAGCCACAGTAGCCTGACCCCCACCAGCCCTAACAAACAGCCACAGTTGCCTGACCCCCACCAGCCCTAACAAACAGCCACAGTTGCCTGACCCCCACCAGCCCTAGCAGACAAACCACAGAAGCCTGACCCCCCCCCCCCCTCCCCCCAGCCCTAACAGACAGCCACAGAAGCCTGACCCCCACCAGCCCTAGCAGACAGCCACAGAAACCTGACCCCCACCAGCCATAGCAGACAGCCACAGAAACCTGACCCCCACCAGCCATAGCAGACAGCCACAGAAGCCTGACCCCCACCAGCCATAGCAGACAGCCACAGAAACCTGACCCCCACCAGCCATAGCAGACAGCCACAGAAACCTGACCCCCACCAGCCATAGCAGACAGCCACAGAAACCTGACCCCCACCAGCCATAGCAGACAGCCACAGAAACCTGACCCCCACCAGCCATAGCAGACAGCCACAGAAACCTGACCCCCACCAGCCATAGCAGACAGCCACAGAAACCTGACCCCCACCAGCCATAGCAGACAGCCACAGAAGCCTGACCCCCACCAGCCATAGCAGACAGCCACAGAAACCTAACCCCTACCAGCCCTAACAGACAGCCACAGAAGCCTGACCCCCCCCCCCCCTCCCCCCAGCCCTAACAGACAGCCACAGAAGCCTGACCCCCACCAGCCCAAGCAGACAGCCACAGAAACCTGACCCCCACCAGCCCTAGCAGACAGCCACAGAAGCCTGACCCCCACCAGCCCTAGCAGACAGCCACAGACGAAGACCAGGTTCAACTGCCGAGGAACAGCCAAATATAAATAGGGTACAGTTGTAAACCAATATATCATAATCGAACCCGGGTCTTCGGCGTGACGAGCGAACGCTTAAACCACCAGGCTACCCAACTGCCCACACACTCAATAGCTTAATCGAGTTGGCCAAAGTATGAAAAAAGAAAGTGTTCTGCTGTTTTATAGATCTCATAGAGGCCTCTGATAGTGTATGGAGAATTGATCTTTGGTGTAAATTATAAGCCCAGGGGATTAAATTAATGGAAAATGCTTTCGTATTACAAGATCAATGTATGATGGTATCAAATCATATGTGTCTGTGAATGGTTTAAAGTCAGAGTTATTTGAAGGTCATGTTGGTGTAAGACTAGGGGAAAATCTATCGCCAATTTTTTTTTGCTTGTATTTGAATGATTTAGCATCCTATTTTATGCAACATGATTGTACAGGGTTGCAATTCAATTCAACTACACTTGATTGTTTTGTAGATGACGACACAGGTCTTTTGGCCCTGACACATAAACACCCACAGAATTCACTTAATTGTTCAGAAATGTATTGTAAATTGTGGAAACTAACTGTAAACACGGATAACACGAAGGTCCTTATTTTCAGTGGTGCTTAAATTGACAAAAGAAGGAAATCTATTTTGAATAAAAACTATTTGGAATTTGTGGATGAATATAAATATCTTGGTATTTATTTCCAAAGCAATAATAAATTTTCTAAATCTGTTAAAACCCTGTGTGAACAAGCAATCAAAGCAATGTATTTTGTCCTATGTAAGGCATGTTTACACAATCTCTCTTTAAAATGCCAACTTTATCTCTTTGACGCTATGGTACAACCAATAGTCAGTGCTACAGATAAACAGCGTATTTTCATAAAATACCCCCCAAAATATTCAAAACCCAATTACTTTTACTTGCGTACAGAAGCGCATGCATTAAATGAAAAACTCAAATGTATAAAAACAGCACACGTAAATACCCAATGAAGATTTTTCAGCATGCGTACAAAGGAGCTAATTTCAAAAACACAATTACGAGCTAATTTACTTTTTCGAGTCAAGCCTATATATTTAGAACGGTTATCATGGTTATATACATCTAAATCATTATTTCATTTTTTTTTTTAAATCGTAAAATGTTTTGGGAAAAACCCAAAAGGTTATGAGGTTGAGGTGTGATACTTACACAGAATGACACCCACCGATCACCAAACGGTTTATGAGGGTTCTTGAAAGGCAGGGTGTATGGTACACAAGGGTTGAATGTGTGATACTTACAGACACAGAATGACACCGATCACCAAACAGTTCATGAGGGCTCTTGAAAGGTAGGGTGTATGGTACACAAGGGTTGAAGGTGTGATACTTACAGACACAGAATGACATCGATCACCAAAAGGTTCAGGAGGGTTCTTGAAAGTCAGGGTGTATGGTACACAAGGGTTGAAGGTGTGATACTTACAGACACAGAATGACACCGATCACCAAACAGGTCATGAGGGTTCTTGAAAGGTAGGGTGTATGGTACACAAGGGTTGAAGGTGTGATACTTACAGACACAGAATGACACCGATCACCAAATGGTTTATGAGGGTTCTTGAAAGGCAGGATGTATTGCGCGCACAGGGCGAAGGTGTGATACTTACAGACACAGAATGACATCGATCACCAAAAGGTTCAGGAGGGTTCTTGAAAGGCAGGGTGTATGGTACAAAAGGGTTGAATGTGTGACACTTACAGACACAGAATGACACCGATCACCAAAGACACAGAATGACACCGATCACCAAACGGTTCATGAGGGCTCTTGAAAGGCAGGGTGTATGGTACACAAGGGTTGAATGTGTGACACTTACAGACACAGAATGACACCGATCACCAAAGACACAGAATGACACCGATCACCAAACGGTTCATGAGGGCTCTTGAAAGGCAGGGTGTATGGTACACAAGGGTTGAAGGTGTGATACTTACAGACACAGAATGACACCGATCACAAAAAGGTTCATGAGGGCTCTTGAAAGGTAGGGTGTATCGTACGCACAGGGCAAAGGTGTGATACTTACAGACACAGAATGACACCGATCACCAAACTGTTATTGAGGGTTCTTGAAAGGCAGGGTGTATTGTACACAAGGGTTGAAGGTGTGATACTTACACAGAATGACACCGATCACCAAATTGTTCATGAGGGCTCTTGAAAGGTAGGGTGTATGGTACACAAGGGTTGAAGGTGTGATACTTACAGTCACAGAATGACACTGATCACCAAACGGTTATTGAGGGTTCTTGAAAGGCAGGGTGTATTGTACACAAGGGTTGAAGGTGTGATACTTACACAGAATGACACCGATCACCAAATGGTTCATGAGGGCTCTTGAAAGGTAGGGTGTATGGTACACAAGGGTTGAAGGTGTGATACTTACAGACACAGAATGACACCGATCACCAAACGGTTCAGGAGGGTTCTTGAAAGGTAGGGTGTATGGTACACAAGGGTTGAAGGTGTGATACTTACAGACACAGAATGACATCGATCACCAAACGGTTCATGAGGGTTCTTGAAAGGCAAGGTGTATGGTACACAAGGGTTGAAGGTGTAGTTCCACAACTGACTCTGAGTCTTGAACAAGGTTGTGAACCTGCAATACAAACAGTAATATCATAATTGACATTTTAGATAAAATTTTCATATCCCCAAGTAGGGGGTACAGAAATGTCTTTTACCTCGGGGGATATAATTTCATGAATTTTATGGGTGGTTGTGTACACCAGCCAGCCCGACAACAAACTTATCTCACCGACAATATTTATCATCTACCACAATTTCAACATATATTTGAGGGAGATTGAGATGTGAAGTGTTTGTCAGCCTACTGCCATACGACAGTTTGTGAATGATAAGGCTCTGGACATCACATACTTCTGAGGTGAGGTGAGGTGAGGTGAGGTGAGGTGAGGTGAGGTGAAATGGGGTTTAGCGTCGTGTCCAAGATTATTGCACTTATGTAGCGACATGCATGTACGTGTGTGTGTGTTTGTGTGGCTGCTTGTACTAGTCCGGATTGATGCCGATTTATAGTGCTAGCTCACTGAGATACCATGCCGCAGTTTAACATGAATATAAGAGGCGACTAACGGGATCGGGTGGTCAGACTCGTTGACTTGGTTGATGCATGTCATCATATCCCAATTGTGCAGATCAATGCTCATGATGTCAATCACTGGACTGTCTGGTCCAGACTTGTTTATTTACAGACCGCCATCATATAGCTGGAATATTGCTGAGTGCGGCAATAAACAACAAACCAACCAAACCAATCTTCTCCCCCCGAAACCTCAGTTTGAAATTTTAAGAGCGCACCCACACTTGTCCACCTGTTTCTTGACATTTAGGAATTTGACTTAAAACCTGTTTCATACTGTTCACTTCAAAAATCACACTGATACTTTTCAAATGAAAACAATTCCATCTTTGTATTTCTGTCTATTTTCTTCTGTTTCATGAGCATGTCATGTCATGTCATGTCATGTCATGTCATGTCATGTCATGATTGACTTCAAATAAAGCAAAAATACCATAACTCTAGATTGTAAATACAAATAAATTATACTCAAAAACCATTTCTTTGCAAAAGAACATTGATTTTAGGACACATTAGGAAATTTATGGTAATTACAAAAGGTTATTTACCAGAAGCAATGTAATTAATTCAAATACATAATATCACAATTATACATCAAAAACTAACATGACTAAAGATATTAGTAAAAATGCTGTTGTATTTACCTAGTTGTTGACCACTTTTATCACATCATGTGGCTACCTAGCCAGCTGCCATGTGGCTCTGTGCATGCCTTACATGCCTTGATTACATCTATAAATAGACTAGTGCACAGCGCACCCTATTGGCCTTAAGAAAATGAAAATAGTCTACCTTGATACCCAACTGATGCATCATAAAATGAAGACATCTTTAAGTGTATGAGTGAGTGAGTATGGTTTTATGCCGCTTTTAGCAATATTCCAACAATATCACGGCGGGGGACACCAGAAATAGGCTTCACACATTGTGCCAATGTCGGGAATCGAACCTGGGTCTTCGGCGTGACGAGCTAATGCTTTAACCACTAGGCTACCCGACCGCCCCTTAAGTGTATGACCATTACACATACAATTCCTGTAAATCCTGTAAAACTATGTGAATAGTAGTGAATAGTAGTATACTGTCTGATTGCTTGCAGCTCCCTCTCCCAGGGCAGCCATTTTCTGTTAATTATTTTTATTTCTTTAATCACAAATCAGCGACTAAGATACAACATGTCCATTGACTAGGCATGATGTGATTTTAAATTGGCATCTATCTGTTTTTCGCAGAAGCTTTTCCAAATGTAACTGTTGGTAAGTGAATATGGCGATCAGCTGATACACAATCATTTATCTAACAGTTGTAATATACCATGATATACGAAATTGTTTTCTCTAATAGTTGTAATATAAGCAATAATTTTATTTCAATAGTGTATTTATAGTTTTTGTTGCATACTTGATACACTAGGATTTTGACTTGTCTGCGTATTTCAGTATATTTAATGCGTATTTTACGCAAATTTACAGCTTTTCTCAAGCTCTGAGACTAAAGCTGGCAATCAGCATTAACGCTGTATTTTGTAATGACATGGAGAGAGTTACCGGTGCCCTAAGGCCACACATAGAAATCACATTTCTTTGAATGAAAATACCTCGTGACGAATTGTGTTATGTGAAAGTAAGGAATATAATTTGCGCAAGCAAGCTTGACAAAACACAAAGAAAATGAAGAATACGTGAACACGTTAAAGAAACAGAATTTCAATTAAAACATATCTGCGATCTGTGTGGTGATGTCTTTCTGTTGTTTAAATGCTCAAATATTCTTCAGGAATGGATTGTTGGTTGTCAGTTATTCATTAACTTAAAATAACATTTCAATTAAATTACAATTTAAATAGATAGACCTATTTTAATATTTTGACACCCAAGTTTATGTCCTCGTAACTCTCCATTCTTTAAACATATTGGCCCTCAGATTCTGCAGGTTTCAGCTCTACATCACTCAATGGTATAGTCCCTCAGATTCACCACTAGACCAATGGAGACGGTCCCTTGAAGAATCCGGGGTAGAAAAGGTCTTCAGCAACCCATGCTTGCCGGAAAAGGCGACTATGCTTGTCGCAAAAGGCGACTAACGGGATCGGGTGGTCAGGCTCGCTGACTTGGTTGATACATGTCATCGATCCCAATTGCGTGGATCGATGCTCATGATATTAATCACTAGATTGTCTTGTCCAGACTCGATTATTTACAGACCGCCGTCATATAGCTGGAATATTGCTGAGTGTGGCGTTAAACAACAAACCAACCAACCAATCAACCCTCCGATTCAACCTATTCCGCTATCAATGAAACTTATTCTCCTGTTTGCCACACTTAAATTCCAATAAACCTAACCATCTTTTTACCTTGTGTCATACCCCGAAAACACTACATTTACAGGGGTACGACACAGGGCACAATTATGGTTAGGTTTATTGGAATTTAAGTGTGCCAAACAGGAGAAAAAGTTTCATTGATAACGGAATACCAGACCCGTGAAGATCCGGGGTAGAATAGGTCTTCAGCAACCCATGCTTGCTGTGAAAGGCGACTATGCTTGTCATAAGCGGCGACTAACGGGATCGGTGGTCAGGCTCACTGACTTGGTTGATACATGTCATCGATCCCAATTGCGTGGATCGATGCTCATGATATTAATCACTGGATTGTCTGGTCCAGACTCGATTATTTACAGACCGCCGTCACATAGCTGGATTATTGCTGAGTACGGCGTTAAACAACAAATAAACTACATATTTATCAAAAAAATATGCACATAGGAGAAAATCGCTGTCAAAAACAGAACATTTTGCTCGATTTTTACACATTTTTCTCCCAATTTGACCGTTTAATATTTTTCTTATGACTTTTTTTTCATGTCATTCGATAACTAGTAGAATGATCAATAACTGTACTTAATTTTGTTTTATTATTTTCACAAATAACGCTTGTAGAGACATTTTTGTGCAACTGCAGAAATCCATGGTCCACTGACAGACCGTCACGCATACGAGTGACCCCCTCTCAGGTGGTCACTTGTACGCGAGACGGGAGAGCCGTCTCACGTACACGTTACGTCCTCTACTGTTTATCCCTGGTGTAGTCATCAGTATTTCAATCACTCACCAGAAAACCTGCAAACACATCACATGTTTATCAAGATAAATGTTCTTTGATTGTTGTTTGGGAAGTAGCTTGTAAGGCTGCATCTGACTGCTATGAATACCTCTTCAATCGCCCTACAACACAATTAATAACGCTAAAAATACATTGACATTTGTCGTGCCACAGTTCCAGATGAGAAACTACAAGATGGTCAACACCAGGTCAAGGTGACGCTGTTCATGAGCCATTGTTAAACTGTCGTCTTACAGAGTACTTAGAGTTCAGTGGTCCACATCTCATGGAAAATGTTGTGTCATTATGAAATCCAGTCAGACCGTTGAGCTGACACACCCAAACCTTGAATCTCACAATTTTATATGTCTACAGCAATCAAATTTGTTATGTCATGACTAAAACTGGTGATAATAATCTACGATCATGACTTTTTGATATGTTTTGTTGTACTAGAATGTCTGTTACCTGTTTCTCCAAGAAGGCTAATCCACAGCAGCTTGTAGAGCTGTGTGTGGTTGCGATGGCAAATCAAATTATTTCAGTCATGTCAAAGTTAAATGTTGATTCAGCGATGTAACACACACATCAAAAAGAGGAAATTATCAAAAAGAGGAAATTAAAGGTGAAAGTGACAGAACTTTGCCATTAGCTTGGGTTTCAAAAATGATTATCGTATTTTCTTGAGTATAGTGCGCAACCTTGCATAATGTGCACCCCCCTCTTGCAGATTGAGTATTTTGGAAAAGAATGTGTTTCGAATATGTGCAGAAATAAATTACACTGCACCCCTTCAGCAAATTCTGGTAAACGAACGGGTGAAAAGAAACTTGGTCAGTACAAATTTGAAATTTGAGATAAAACATCATCAGACATGTTGATTTACCATTTAAATTGTATTTCTTGTTCTGCTAGGATTTTCACATCCAGGGATTAAGATTACCGTGTGTATTTTCTCGTAAACTAAGCCGTTAACACACGTTTTCTTGGAATCTACCGTGATTAGGCTAAAACTTACCCAATGATATACTGGTATGTGGCCTCAATACTCAGCCTGCCAGGCTCGATATAGCTGAATAAAACATGCACACGTGCAACTGATTACACAAAAACGCTGCCAAATATAATGGCCTCAATGCACCAAGTGAATGAAGAAAAAATTCAAATTTGTGTCTAAATCTAGTGAGTCAGAATTGTTGTATTTCCTAAGCAAGATCTCGTGAATTACATACTGTATGTATTACCCCAAGAATGCTGTAGAGGGTGAAATCATAATCAAATACGACCTTGCTTATGAGTGAGTGAGTGAGTGAGTGAGTATGATTTTTACATGCTTTTAGCAATATTCCAGCAATATCACAGAAGGGAACACCAGAAATGGGTTTCACA